CTATAGAACCTGTACTTGTTGAGTTGCTATTTTGAAACTAATGTATTTCTGTTTGTAATAAAAGATGTTCATAATGCATTTACAGCCATCTTAATATAATGGTATATGCGTTGTTCACTCTTAAGTTTCTATTCTTTGTTTTTATTTGTGCTATGAAATCTTTTACTAAGAACTTAATCTAGTGTTCTTGATCTCTTCTTTCAAATTTAGCACTTGGTTTTAATATTTTCTTGGTTTTATTCTTAGTTTTCTTTTCCTGGAATATTTTCTCTAATTTTTGCGTAGAAACATTTCTTCAATTAGTACTTTTACTATACTATACTTAAAAGTAGTGGGCAGTACTTTATTTGTTATTTCATTTTATTTATTATAGGTTGCTCACACAGCTTTTACCTTTTCAGTTTATAAAAATATGTATACTAATACATATGTATATATTTTTCCATCTTTCAGCTTTCTCTTGGGTTTAGTAAATGCACATAATCACATTTTTATATCAGATTAGTTTAAATGTTTCATGCTGTATCATTCGGGATAAGTGTATGAAGTATCATCTATGTGACACCATATGTGTATTTGGCTAAATAACTAACTCCATTGAAGTTGATATTAGTAAACTATGCAACTTCCTTGGAGTTGATGATATTTAGTCATTAGTTAATGAAAAAGAAGCCAGAATGTTCTGATATTAAAAGCTTTGAAGGGTATACTTTTTATTTTACTTTTTTTTTCTGTTGATTTGAAAAGAAGAAAAAAACATTGTAAAAACTTACAAAGATTAGATATTTGACTTTAATGTTTTCTTGCTATAGGATTATTATCATGAACTATTTTCTTTTGGATATGTTAGCTTTTTTATTCATTTCGGCATTAATTTTTTTTATAAATTATTTATTTAAGCAACTATATTTAAATTTCCGTTCTCAAAATTCGTTTTATAGTACAGTTAATCTTGAAATTCAATTTCATAATAATGTGAGTTGTTAAACATGATGAAGTTTTCTTCCAGATTACTTTTAATGTTCTAAGCATGAAAGTACTATTTTCCATCCCTGTGTTGGATGGAATTATTGTTCTTAAATGATTAATTATGTGTATGTGTTGCTAAATATCCGTTTCCATTAGAAAAAACTACATAAAAAAACTTTACATAAACCAATTTAGTGCTTAGAAATAAAGTTTCTTACAATATAAGTTTTTTTTATAATATGAATCCAATTATTAAATTATTCTCTCCTTGCGAACTTTCAATTTTCCAACTGGCCTTGCACCTTTTTTCCTGCTCTTTTAATATTTCTTCTTGCAATTGTATTTCTACATATTTTTTTGNAAAAGGTTTCTTTATAATATGAATCCAATTATTAAATTATTCTCTCCTTGCGAACTTTTAATTTTGCAACTGGCCTTGCACCTTTTTTCCTGCTCTTTTAATATTTCTTCTTGCATTTGTATTTCTACATATTTTTTTGGCAAGGATTTTTACTATTACTTAGTTCTGATGGTTATTTATTTTAAGTTCTCAGCTTGCTCTTTGACTTAGTTAAAACACAAAATTATGCTTATTTCAAATTACTTTAAATGTTTTGGGTCCTAGAGGGGTGTTTTCCTTATGATTAGTGTGTGAAGTGTCATCCCTTGAGTCATCAGAAAAGCTAAATAATTGACTCCATTGAAGTTGATGTTAGCAAAACTATGCAACTCTTTGGAGTCAGTGATATTTGGCAAAGAGGTAAATGAAGCAGAAGTTCTCATGATGAAAATTGCCTGGGTATGACTTTTTTTTCTTCCTATTAATATGAAAAAATAGCATAAAATGTTCCAAATAGCATAAAGTAGCTCCAAATTTTAGAAACTCGATTTTTTTAGAAGGATACAAAAAATGACGTCTAACTTGTTATTAAAAAACATCAGATTTTTCTGTTGATTTTTCTTTATTGATTCTTGTTTTTGTGAAGCTTGATACTTTTTTCCGTTTCCTGAGGCAGATGTTACTGGTTTGCTGGTTTTATACAAATTCCATCCGTCTGGAAAAGGACAATAATTGTCCTATTTAGAAGCATACAAATAAAATACTAGCATTCATTTAGTTTTTCTTTCCTTTTTTTCAAAAAAAAAAAAATAATTTAACTGCAGAATATCAACTTATGCATCGTAAAATCAAATCCCTGTATATTTTTATTTATCAATCTCTCATCACGCATAAACAAAAATTAAAGACAAAAACAAAACATTAAAACTCTTTTTTTTTTCAAGTTCCTTCAATTAATATTAATATGATTTATAAATCCTAGGTCAGAATGTTCAGACACATTGTCGGTTTTATTTCTGAGGATGACAAATCGTGTTTATACAGATCTTGTGTCGCGTGTAGATTGCAATTTCCTCGATTCCAAAAATATCAAAGCATTTTTCTTCTGTTGTTGTTGTTGTTCATTTACGTCGCACTAGAGCTGCACAATGGGCTATTGGCGACGGTCTGGGAAACATCCCGGAGGATGATCCGAAGACATGCCATCACAATTTTGATCCTCTGCGGAGGGGATGGCACCCCCGCTTCGGTAGCCCGACGACCTGCACGCGAAGTCGAGCACTTTACGGTAGAACAGTTTAACGAGGACCCATACCGCACACCCTCGGTCCCTACGCAGACTGATCCAAGTGGTCACCCTACCGCACACTGACCGCAGCCAGTGATGCTTGACTTCGGTGATCTGCTGGGAACCGTGTCTTAACGATCAGTTCACTGCGGTGCCATTTTTCTTCTGAGAAAGGTTTTATTTATTTATTTTTGTTTGTTTTTGTCGTAACTTAAAATACTAACAATATGGCCTCTCCACTCATACACGATGGTCTGGTCAGTACAGCCCAAATTTAAACTGGATTCGTCGCTGAAGACGACCGTTTTTCGGTTGATTGAAGTCCAATCTTGCTCAGAACGGCACCACCCCAGACGGAGGTTGCACCGACCTCTTCTAGAGTTTGTGTAATGGTATGGGATGCACGAATATTGATTCCCTGACATTCTTCTGCCACATATTTCGATGTCTTTAAAGCAACTGTGGGTGCTTCACTGTCCTATTGAGCATAAACATTTATTCTGGCTTATTTCGATATTTGGGTTAACGGAAACTTTTGTTGAGCTAAGAATTCCTTAGGCACTGTGAAATATTTACATACTTAAGTGCCACATTTTGAATCCCTTAATTTGTCTTTAGTAATTTCCCTTACTATTGCACTGCAGTAACTTGTAATCTAATACCTGACAGAGGTCGAAACATCCCCGAGAATGGCCGGAAGACATGCCATCGCAATTTTTATCCTCTGCAGGGGGAGCTCCCCTGCTTTGGTTGCGAGCACTTTACGGTAGAACAGTTTAGCAAGGACCGATAACTAGCATCCTCGGCCCCTACGCAGACTGATCAAAGTGGTCACCCACCCGCTTACTGACAGCAGGCAGTGGTGCTTAATTACGGTGTTCAACTGGGAACACTGTCTTTACCATCCGTCCACTGCAGGACTAAATAGTAGTAAATTTGAGAACTAATCAAATCATGGTATGACTTAATACCAATAAAAGAATTATGTTTGATTACTGATCAAATGATAGCGGCTTTCATAACTGATTGAAAGAGATCGAGTGCTCATCAAAAGACAGTGAGTTGGATAATTAATCTAATGTAAGTGGATTTGAGACTAATAAAATTTTTTAAAAAAAGTTTCGTTTACTGATTAAATGATATCGGATTCCGATAAAAGGTTAGCGTGTTCGAATAATATTCAAAGGAGTATGCAAGTAGGCTTTGATCGTTAACAACAGTGCCAAGATATTCGAATGCATTAACCCCTACATATAGAATATTGTAACATTAATACATATAGAAGCATTGTAGTTGAGGATGAAAATTCCTTTCTTATATCTTCGTTAATAGAAAGGCCCGTCCCGCAGTTACGTTAAGACACGGTTCTCAGCAGATCACCGAAGTCAAGCATCTCTGGCTGAGGTCAGTGAGCGGATGGGTGACCACTTGGATTAGTCTGCGTAGGGACCGAGGGTTTGTAGTATGGGTCCTCGTTAAAATGTTCCACCGTAAAGGGCTCGATTTCGCGAGCAGGTCGTCGGACTACCGAAGTGGGGGTGCCATCCCCTCTGCAGGAGATCAAAATGGTGATGATCATCCTTCAAATCATCCTCAGGGATGTTTCCCAGACCATCGCTAATAGCCCATTGTGCAGCTGTAGTGTGACGTAAATGAACTACAACAACAACATAGAAAGGCCCATATATGTGGCTTCGAGAGCTCGAAAAGCCTGTTTCACCTCCCTTTCTGACCTTCCAATTATATCGATATCATCAGAGTAGGCCAAAACTTGGAAGTGACCTATTCCAGAGAGTGCCTCTTCGGTCCAATCCACTATCTCGGATACACTTCTCCAAAGCAATGTTAAAAGGCAAGGGAATGACGCAAGCCTCTTTCAGTTACAAAGGGTTCAGAAAGATGGTTTTGAATTTTAATCCTGCATCTCACATTATTGAGTCGCTATGCTATACAATTATTTAATATCTAAAGTACTAAACTTTCAAGAATATGTACTGATTAATTCTCTATTTTTATTATTTTACTAATCAATACAATACGCTTAGCAATGGGGCTCGTTCTGAGGAACGCAGACTGTATATTTTATTGAAAATACATTTAAAAGAATTTTTTTGACCGCTTTAAATCAATTGCTGGTTGATAAGGTGACTGACTCTCATGCCTAATTTGTCGCTGTTTTTTTTTCTACTTCATAGCATAGGAAGTGCGAAATGAAAAGTTTTACAATGTTTTTAACTGTTTCGGAATTTTTACGACTATTTTTGCTTTATTTTGCTTGAATTAAAAAATCACGCTTTAGCCATGAAGGTGAATATTCTTAAAATCTACGTCATTTTATCAAAAAACAAAGCCTATAAAAAGCAAAATGCATTGAAATGAATGACCATAAAAAAGGTAATGGAATGATAAAAATAAGATAATGCTGACAAAACAGCATTAGCCATCGCGTATTATTTTACGATCATAATTATCTAAAAAGTGTAATACATTGTCCATATCAAGGTTTTCGTATAAAAGAAATTGTCACGCAAAACACCGACATGCAAAAAGTTTAATAATTCTGATCACCTATAGCACATAAATAGCGGGTAAGTCATTGTGCATTATGTTAGTGCTTCTTAACTATTTTATTTTTATTTATTATCGAAAGAAACTAGAAAAAATATCGCTTTGAATAACTTTTGATTTAATGATCGGAGTTGCACTTTTTTTTTACCGACTAGTTTTTAATCGGATGATCAGACTTCCACATTTTTGGCGAATAACTTTAAATCTCTAGACAATTTTGACTAAGATCATTGAGTCACTGTTGATCTGATCTGCAGAGCCTGACTAAGGCAGGGGCATACGGGGCAGTTTCTCCGGGGATCCACATAAGAGGGCCCCCCAAATGGAATAGAAAGCTTATTTTACGTTTCCTTCTTTATTGAACTTTTTTTAAACAAAATATCAGTACAGTGTAAAACTCATAAGTTTTATGTTAGCTTCTTCATTAATCTATCGTATGAACGCAAAAAACCTATCTTTCGTAAATCCATGGTTTTCTATAGTGGAATTCCACTAAATTTTCACAATGACGATGGACACATTTGGTCAATAAAAAAACCTGAATTTTCACTTACCCAAAAATATGACGTGTTTACAAAAATACGGATTTTTCATTGACTTAATTGAGCTATCGTAATTGCGAAAATTTAGCTGAATTTCGTCCTCATGTCAGTAATTATATGAATTTTTCGCTGTTAGATGACGAAATTAACAATCAGAAAACTGCATTCGACATGATGGACATAGAATTGAGAGAAAATCAATAAAATGGACAGAACGGACGATGGGAAGGACTTTATAGCTATTTTAGGTTCTAGTCAATTTTGTTGTTAAATATTTATAATGAGGTGAAAAATTTAAATACCTCCATAAAGTCCGGTTCTTCATTACTGAAGTGGCGAAGCAAAGGGGACTGCAAAAGAAGTTTTTGCCCCAATTAGGCTAAGTCGGACCATGCTGATCTGATCCTAATAACTTTTTATTTCTAAATAACTTTGTTTTTAATAACTTCTGAACGTGCTCAGTTATAATTTCTGTTTGAATGACCGTTAAATAGGTGTAACTTTGATTAGGATCCAACAAACAGATGTTCAGAGTTTGTCATCTTTTGAATTTTGTTTTGCATTGTTCTATCATTTAGTAACTAACTGTACTCTGAATAGAACACTCTTAATAACTTTTGATCGGATTTTCGACTGCAAAGACTCACAAATGATTCTTAAATATGTTAATTAATTAGACAGTTCGCTTACGTACTAGAGATCCCAATTATATGTACAACAGGGTGCGTAGCGTTTGTAAAAAGTACTTAAAGGTGCTTTTTTGGGGATTTCGCTGGTGTTTTTAAAAAGTGCTTTTTTTTCCACAAGTAATTTTTTTTTCTTCAGTGATATCTGGTGGATCCCATGCATTTCACGAAAAATGGGGTGTTTGCTACGTAATCATTCACGAGGACTTCATGTCTTATGTCGTACCCACGACATAGGATACGACTATTGTCGACATAGGACTTAGCGATGTCGTACCCACGTTATGACTTGCGCATGCGCGCACACTTAAAACCGAAACCCGAGTGCTCCAATTCGGATAGAGAATATCAGATCCTTATGAAATGTTTCTCTTTTTAATTTAATTTTATTCTTATTTATTTTACATTACTTCTAACACTTTTTTGACGTAGGGGGTAAGGGTACTTTTGTTCTGAGTTCAGGGTCAAGTTGAATTCACTCGGGGATGTGGGGAAGTACTGATTGTTTTGATTTACGTCCGTTTCTTTTTGGGGGGTTTTTAACGCTAAAACTGTTTATAAAAAGTTTTTGTTTTTCAATAATGTCATTGATTGAATATGAGTTTTTTGAGTGCTTGAAAATTTTTGTAAAGTGCTTGAAAAGATTTTAAAAAGTGCTTATTTTTGATTGAAAGATTTGGCTACGCACCCTGTACAAACAACTTTAACAAAATTTGATGACTTGATAGCGAATAAAAGAGATGTTTATGTGAAATTGAAGTTGAACGATTGAAATCTGCCTCGATATCAATCCTCCTCGCTTAAGCGTTGGTAACTGCTTTTAACACTAAAGATACCATAACCGATCAAATGACCATTTAAGAACTCTTTCGAAATGAAAATCTTACCGCATTTGACTTCATCACTTACAATTATATACAGTTAATATTCTATTATTTTTTGTATTTTGTTTGTTTCGAATAATATCTGTCGCATACCTACCACAACCGGTCATTTAACCGGGAGGACAATTTATTGCTTTATAAGGTTCAGAAATGACAATGTAATGCGTATTGCATTCGATGAGTTTCTGCAAAGACTGTTGCGTAGTGATTTCAATCAGAATTCAAATTTCAAGAAAGTACCAAACATTTTAGATTGGTATTTTTGAGTCAGAAAAAGTGATAAAAACTAAACATTTTGGTAAGTAGCTTATGTTTTATTTTGATAGCTTTACTTCATTTCTAACTAACTCTGTTAGTTCTTACCGAAAAAAATGTCGAAACAATTGAGATAGCGCAAGTTCTTAGAAACAAATAATATTAACTATAGGAATAATTATATGAATTATAATTATAAGAATTATGGACATAATAAATAATAATTAGACGAAATATGTTTGCGGAAAATGTACAACACCTTGCATATATAAAAAATGCGTGTAGCAATGAATTAAAAATTCTTATTCTTTGTATTTGTAATACATAAAAATGGGCAATATACAATTTTGTTTGACTATAATAATATTTAATTATAATGTTTAGTTATAATAATATAATTTTGTTTCATTCTAATGCCCCGACATTTGAAATTCTATGGTAGAAATAGATATATATTAAGTGTTGGTAACTTTAGTGTCAAGTAGGTTTTCACATAATTTTCAACAAAAAATATATATTAAGAACAGTACTGAAAATAATTATCATATACATAATCATTGTCTTCTGATGTGTGAATGTGGCCCACCCTATGAACGGGTATCTATGTCAGTGTGGCGTGGGTAATGTTGCTCGCCTCTGTGACTTAGGTTCACAGGTGCCCACTGGGTAACGTTAAATGAGTAACACTTCCGGTATCCTCTAGGGCGAAGAACGAAAGTTAAGTGCCTGCTGTTATTAAAAAATAAATAAATAAATAAAAGTATCACGTGATAATTAATATTTTACATAGAATCTTATAGTGCGTCTAATAATTTGGCCAGGGGCTGTATATTAGTGGTGCAGATGCAATTTTTTTTTAAGTATCTTAAATTGTATATCTTTTATAGGTAATTACAAGGAATTCGGTAATGAATGACCAAAACAACGAAAAAGGGGCGACGACTCACCGGGAGGAAACCACACATGCAATGAGCAAGAAGCGCATCGTAAAAAACATAGCAGCGGTATGCACTGGTGTATTTACTCTCTTCACCGCCTATGATGGGCCTACCATGCTACAAAGTACCATGAACAAAGAACAGGGGATCGGTGTGGCCAGCCAAGCCATCATGTATGGCGCATTTAGCATATCGGCACTCCTGTTACCAAAGTACGTTATCAAGAAATTTGGAAGCAAACGGACTTATATGTTTTCTATGATGGCTTATGTTCCGTATATTGCGGCAAACTTTTATCCTCATTGGGATGTTGAGGTACCGGCCTCCATTTTGATTGGTCTAGGCGCTGCCCTGTTGTGGGGTGCCCAAGCCACTTATTTAAACGACGTATCTGTCATGTACGCCGAACTTTGTGTATCGGAAAAGTTCCACAGCATTTTTACCATTAGTCGTTCGAAAATGGGTAGTTACTTTGATGTGATGGTGCAAGGTACGAATAACATCCTGTTTCCTCGTTACTCTATGCCGGATTTTAAAATCTCAAACGATGAGCATCTGAAAGGTAAAAAATATTCATTGGACAGCGACGAGAGGAAAGTGAACTTTATTGAAAAATATTTAACCGATGTTTCTGTCGTTGCTATTCCAGAGGCCAGTAAGTCTACTAAAAGAAAATCGATCGATTTCGATTCGCCATTAGAGAGCCGCCATTTTGAAGAATCGTTGAAAAAGAAATCAGTTGTTCACGGAGAGACCCATAACTTGGTGGTAAGAAAAGTCGAAACCATCACGGCTCGCGTGTTTGGTATACATGGCATGTCTTACCTCGTTTGCCATTTGTCAGGTAATTTGCTGTCCTATTTAATTCTCAGCACTGGGGAACTGCCTCGTAACTATTTAAATAGCACCACAAGTTGCGGTTGCGGTGCTCGTTACTGCAATGGAAAATCTACGTGCTTCATTGACAACGTAGAAGAAGTGTCGACCGACACAAGAAACCTGTTGTCGAGTGTCTGTGTTTCTCTGGCGATAGTTGCTGTCTTGGTTGTTGCTTTGTTCGTGGACCCTTTGGAATCTAAAACGGAGGCGGAGCCATTCAATTTGAAATTTTTAATGGCTACCTATAAACTGGCTAAACGCACTGATTTGATATTACTTATTCCATCATCTTTTTACATTGGACAAGTACAAGGTTTTTACACGGGAGAGTTTACAAAGGTAAGATATGGTATATTACATTGACCACACTTGAAGAGGGTGGTCACAGAACAGAGAAAAATTAAAGAAATGTTCCGGAATATAATTTAAAAACTCCAAAAAGTTAGCAAAAATGAAATATTTTGAGTTTGAGGTACTAAAAAAATTACTCTCGCAATTTTTACCGATTTGCAAAATGGGTCTTGCTTTAGATTTCATGACGTTTCCTCACTTTTCAACTAAAATAATCAAAAGTAATAGTAAACAGTGCGCATGCGTTGCTATGGCGACCGCTGCTGTTTGATAATTTCTTTAGAATTCTTTTTTTTTCACATTTGATTTTGTTGTGCATTAAGTTGATGAGTTTAGTTTTGAGACATGGGACCAGAGAGATCCCATAAATATTTTTTGAGTTGTGAATAAAAAAGAATTTCATCATTTAAACGATATTTTTGTTTTTATTGTTCGAATTAAGGATCAGAAATTCTAAACTACCGTTCAAACTGGATCGTTTTCAATACTAATTCAGGTAAATATCATAAATATGGAGGGCAAAAAAGAAACTAGACAGTAACTATTTTGTCAGTGGGTAACCTGGAATTGCCTTTTGGCTTTCACAAATTTTTTTTATTTATTTTAAAATTATGTTCAAGTAACTAGCATAAGCTAGTATAAGATTTACATGGTTAATCTAAGTGTAACAAATTAACAAATGAAATGTTATGCACGGTGAGAAAAAAAAAAGATCCATCATGAATAACTTTTGATCTAATAATTGGTTCTCCACTTTCTGGACTCAATCTTAATGGTTTGAGGGGGTAACCTCAAACATGCAGATTAATGAGTGCAGTACTTTAAGTAACGAAATCAGACACAAAAATGTACTTTCTCTGAAAAAAAAATTTTTTTCGACATATTTGAATTTTTGGCCCACAAAATACAGGGGAAAGGCTGGGAAAGATTGTCCTGATTGTTTGGCCCCCTTAATATTAATTTTATTTTTATCTTAATAATTTATTACTTTTATCTTAATAATTAATCTTTTATCTTAATAATTATTTAAGAGAATCTAAAATTTTTTGCACACTCTTTTAAAATTCGTTTGTTTTTCAAACGTAATTCTATGCAAAAAATAACTGTTAGTAAATATTTATTATTTTGTTTAACAGTAGTCGGAAGAATTTTGATTTGTTAGGTATATCATTTCTTACATCATTTTAAAGAATGTAAATTTATTAGGCAAAATACAAAATTTGAACGCAATCAGTTGAATGGCTCCTGAGAAATCGAATTTTATAGAAGTATTCTATTACAACTTCAGACTGAAATGTGAAGAAAAAGATTTACCGTTACATAGATTGGGATCATGTCTTTGTGACTTCTATTTGTAATCCTCGTCATATTTTATAATTCCATTCAGAAATTCACACAGGGTATCTGCTATATTTTAGATTTTCAAATTCATGACTTTTCATGACTAATTCCAAGAATTTTTCTTGACTTACCGAAGTAACTATTTTCTCTGAGAAAAACATAACTCTAAATTTAAAAAAGCATAATAATAACATTCATTGAAATGATGGGTAGAACCAAAACTGTTACACTGTGCATCTTCATATATATATATATTTTAAAAACAGAGTAAAGAAAGAGTTGAAACCGTTATAGTTTCAAGAGTTATAAAATAGCCGAAAAAAATACAGAAGCAAATAATTTTTTTTCCTGCAGAATTATAGTCTAAAGCTATTTTTCTTGTTCATCGGAAAAGAACGAAATGCTCCTGATTTTTCTGTTCTCATTTCGGAATTGAAAAAAAAAATAGCCAATGACTGTCTTGCTTCAGCTAGAATTTGAAATTGATGAAATAAAAAAAATTATAATAATAAAAATTCTAAAATCACAGAAGTTTAAAAAATAATTCGCTCTTGAAATGATGTTTTTTCTTTCATTTTTTGAAAGAACACCATGACTCTTAAATATAACATGATAAAAACATTGTGCATTTTAATAAAATATGACTCTGAGAGGGGATTTTGTTACAAATTAAGATATTCGGAACACCGTAAAATTGAAGTAAATTCCATTTCAAAAATTGGATTTTTCGGCGACCTAAGTCCATAAATTTCCATGAATTTTTTTTGAAAAAAAAATAGTTAAAATCATGACAAATTTTGTTCAAGACCGAAATTCATGACTTTCCACTCGCGCAGAGAATAGGGTATATTCATATGAAGGGATGTCATTACGAAATACCACAAACCACATCCATTCAAGCCTTACTAATCAGTTCTCTTTTTTTCTCTTTCTCCTTTAGGCTTACATTGGGTGTGCTTGGGGTACTTACCACGTGGCACTTGTTTCCATCTGCTACGGATTGTTCTGCGCGCTGTTCGCATCCACATCGGGGTGGATGGTGAAGGTGGTGGGGAGAGAGTGTGTATTCTCATTGGCTGCTCTGTTGAATGTCGCGTCTATCGCTCTGCTTCTTCTGTGGGAGCCCAATTCTGTCAACACACACATTTTCTTCGTATTCGGTGGAATGTGGGGAGCATACATTGGAATCATCTGGTCACAACTTCGTGGTAAGTTCTATTTTATAACCGTCGTTGAACAGCCGATCCAATTTTTGGGTTTATGACTATTAATGTTCAACTCCGTAGCCTTGTCATTTTTGTACCAATCCAGAAGACAAGGAAACTCCTGGATCAGTACCCCCAGAGGTATTGATTTGTCATTGGAGCATGGAGGATTTTGCGACTCGACAGATTTAACGTGCACCAGCCACCATTTACAACACGGAGAGTCTTCGGCAGGCGGGGATCGAACCCACGAACATGGGTCCAGTGCCCTACCAACCAGGCTATCCCGGCCTGAATCAAACATTTGGACAAATTAGCCTACATGTGGGGATATTTGGAGAGAAATTAACGGAGAGGGAAAACACATTCATCTTGAATTTCATCTATACGATGTTAAAAACTATATTGTAGTTGCGAAAGAGTAAGAACAAAAAGTATTCGTTAAATGTAAAGTTATCGTACGGCAAGCAAAATCTAGAGCTCTGAATTAAAAGTTTGTTTACGGTTAGGGTGAAAAACACAGTAAAACAGCTTATTATTATCAAATATACGGCGAAAATCGAAAATAAAAGAGGAATTTTTTTAATGTACGCCACCAAATTATACGACTAAGAACTACAATCGTACGTAAGCTTCCCTATTATTAACTTCGTGTACTTCTAAACAGGTATATTAATTTATTCATCTAAGTTATCTTAATTTTAAGTATTCTAGTGATTTTAGTAAGAAATTAAATTTGTTAAGAATTAAATTCGTTATTTAACGATTTGGCAACTGATTTGGCAAGCTTGCCAAATCGTTAAATTAGTATAAAACAATTATTTTTGCATCGATTTGAGTCCCGCAGTGAACTGATCGTTAAGACACGGTTCCCAGCAGATCACCGAAGTCAAGCATCACTAGCTGGGGTCAGTGAGCGGGTGGGTGAAAAATTGGATCAGTCAGCGTAGGGACCGAGGGTGTGCGATATGGGTCCTCGTTAAACTGTCCAACCGTAAAGTGCTCGACTTCGCGTGCAGATCGTCGGGCTACCGAATCGGGGTTGCCATCCCCTCTGCAGAGGATCAAGAATGTGATGCCTTGTCTTTGGATCATCTTCAGGGATGTTTCCCAGACCGTCGCCAATAGCCCATTGTGCAGCTCTAGTGCGACGTAAATTAACAACAACAACAGCAACAGCATCGATTTGAATGCAATTTCTGGCTATAACTATTTTGTTTTATAATCTTCGTTGAACAGCCGATCCAATTTTTGGATTTACTACTACTAATGTTCAACTCCGTAGCCTTGTAATTTTGAACCTAATCTAGAAGACAAGGGAACTCCTGGATCAAGTATTGAGAAAAATTTGCCTTCGTGGAGGACTTTTTGTTGGAATTAACCGGCATTTGCGTTGCATGGAGAGGAAGACCACAAGAGCCTCCCACGGTTAGCCTGACTGCAAGGGGACTCTAACCCATCATTCGTCTACCACTGAGGATATTTCACATCAGCACTTTGGTCGGTGCAAGCTGGATGCGAAACTCGTATCGACCCACAATCGCTGGGATTCGAACCCGGTTCACCCCATTGGAAGGCGGACCCTCTATCCCCCGAGCCTTATCGACTGTAACTGTTGGAATAGATGAGATAATTTAGATAAATGAAAATACCTTCTCAAAAGCACACGTAGAAACAGTTTGTAATAAGGGAAGCGCCCCTAGAGTCGTATGATGACATGTACGATCATGGGCATTACGATGACATTTAAAGTTAGTTTGTTCTCATCTAGTTTCCAGTTTCGAAAGTTGTCAACTGATGGCGCTGCTGACTGCAAAACTCTCAATGAGCAGCACCATCTCCTTTACAGCTTTGTAACTCATTTGAAGGTAGGTAAAAATAAATCGCGTTGTTTACGAACACAACAAATTTTTCTCCATTGTCGTTTTTCTTTGGAAATGATATGATATTTAAACGATACGTTATTTAAACGATACGATATTTAAACTACAATTTTTAATTTTTGCAGCCTTTTACGGCGTCCTATTCAAAGCTGAAGAAGAAGCGGCTTTCGCTGCCTTTCATGTGTGGTATGCTCTTGGTTTCTGTTTGTCATTCGCCTACAGCAATTACTTTTGTACCTACATCAAAATATATGTATTATTAGCGATATCTAGTCTTGGTTACATCGGTTACTTTATTGTGGAAAAGAAGTTTTCAAAAGCTAAAATTAAAAAATGAATTATTTTTCTTACTTAACATGATCTGCACTTGTAGAAGGTTTTTGACTCACTAAGAACCATTGTTACGCTGACGAATTACGTTTCGTTGTTCCTAAATATGTTCGACTTCATATAATTAAAGTGTTTTTCAGTGATTCAAACCAGGAATGTTCGGATGTGGTTCGTAAAGAGAGAAAAAAATTAAAACGATCCTCATACTGTTACAATTATAGAATAAAACTTGTTTTCTTCTGGAATCATTAAAATTCTTTTTACTATATAATTTTTTTTTAAAAAAAAAGGGGGGGAGCTTACTGTACATAAAAGAAAATTTGATAGCAATAGATTAAAAACTTTACGGAACTATAGCAACTGACGCCACCCTTTATTAATAATTATAAAATGTAAACGATGTACGTCAAATATATGCTCTATAGCTTTTTATGTAACCGACATATTTTTTATTACTTCTTTACTTTTTGGGGGGTATGAAGTATAAAGAATTTTTTTTTTCAATGAAGTTAAGTTTTTCCAACATAACTACAGACACGGACAGGAAAAAATCCAGTAGGTTTTATGAATTAATATAAATTTTCATGATAATTGTTGCAAAATATGCGAAATATTTTACACATGGGGAATTCTTATAGTCATCAAAATAGAGAAACTGCAATATTTTCGTATTACAATGCAATATTACATTGCAATTTCTTTTTCATGTTCAGAGACCACTTGCTATAAATTAAAATCAGTAAATACTTCAAACACGAAAATCGTGAATGGCAGAGAAACAAAACTACAGAAGCAAAATGACAATTGAATAACAATTTCTCTTTCATTTTTAAAAATTACTTGCAAGTTAAATAATTAAAAAACAAAATTTCATTTTCATTTAAAGGCATAATAACAAGAAGTTGCACACTTTGCATTATTTAGTTCAAATACAATACGTGAATTGGAAGCAAAATTACAATGAAAAAGTAATTACGGAGAAAATTTACCGGAGGAAAAGAGACTGAAAGTTACAAAACCATATTACACTTTTATCTTCAGGGATTATAAGCTTTAAATTAAAATCAATAATACTTCCAACACAAAATTTTTGAGAGAAAAAAAAATTATAAAAGTTCCAGACAGATGATTATTAAATTTTACAAAAGCAAATATTGCTGCAAGACAACAAAAATAACAATTTCTACTTTGATTTTAAGAAAACACTTGCGAATAAAAATAAAAATTAAAAAAATGTCAACATTGAAAGCTATAATAATAAGTGATACAATTCGCACTTTCTAACTCAAATAAAATACATAAATTGAGGGAAAAAATTTAGTAGATAACAGAAAACATTTACAGGAACAAATGAGACTGCACGTCAACAGACCATATTACAATTTCATTTTTAGAAATCACAAGCTTTAAACTAAAATAAAACTTCAAGCACAAAAATTTTTAAAGGCAAAAAAATATGAGTTATGAAATTTTTAGCCATATGATAATTAAAATTTACAGAAGCAAATAGAGCTTAAAGACAACAAACTAAATAACAATTTCTACTTCGATTTTTAGGAAACATTTGCGAATAAAACTATATCTCAAAAACGAAATTTCAACATTGAAAGCCATAATAATAAAGAGTGCTGCATTTTCTAACTGAAACACTGTATAAATAAATTGAGAGAAATCTAGAGAAAATTTACAGGAGCGAATGAGGATGCAAATTAATAGACCATATCATATTTCTTTTTTTCTTCACTCATATTAAATTGAAATCAACTCTCTAAACAAAATTTTTGAGAATAGAAACGTAAAAGGGCCAGGCCAGTACCAGATGACATTTACCGAAGCAACGATGGCAGTAAGTCAAAAAACCATAGAACAATTTTCTGTTTCTTCTTTTTTAATTTCTTAGAAATTACTGTAACGAATATGAAACCAATGGTGGTTCAAAATGAAACCAATAAGTAATTCATAACTAATTGTAAAAGCCAAAAAAATAAATAAATAACAGAATGTTTGTATTCTTACAGAAACAGGAAACATGAATTATAATAAATTTGGGAAATATTGGATAGCAGCTGGTTAATAAATGCAGTAAATAAAATGCATAAATCAATGAAATGAGTTACAGGGTGCAGAAAAAAAACCTGGCAAACTATTTACAATATTAGTATAAATGGTTGCAATTGCAATAATATTAGCATTATTTCAAAATAATATTAATATTCGTATTAAGGGTGAATAAATTAACAAAATATAAGTGGCAGAAGAAAAAAAATATGAAAACACAGATTTAAAAAAACAAAAAGTAAATTTCTATTCCGTGATGCAAGAACTTAGTTTTTTTCCTCCATCCTGTATAATAAATGCAGGGAGATGCCATAGAAAAGATGGAAACATGTTAGTGTGATCATTTTTTTTCTTACAAAAGCTCAATATACCAAATTTATTTATAAATGAAATTAATATGAATTCCAACAGATGACAGGAAAAAAAATTAATTTTTTTAAGAATTAATAAACAAAATACATAAATTGCTTATACTGGCAAAAATTTGCTTATACTTAAGACAAAGATGAACCCAATAAATTAATTTACAATTTTGATTTAAGAAAATAATAACATAAAAAAAAATCAGATACAAAGAAATGAAAGATATCCTCGTCATTTGTTGCATTTTTATGAACATAAAATTATTTAATTATGTTGTAATATTAAATGTGAGATAGTCATATATTTTTTTTAAATTATATATATGGCTATTTTACAATTTTAACAACTTAGATAATTTTCTATATATTTTTTTTTTTTTGCTTCGTTAACTTTGTGAACATAAATGCGATTGGAGCGAGCACAAAGAAAATGCATTGTGATTAAAAAGAAATTAACAATTGTAATTCAATACGTTAAAAATAAATACAAATAGAAAGTCTATAAAAAAATCTCCTGAATAAAAAAGCATTTTATGTATGTTTAAATATAAAAGTATTTAATATATATTAAATATAAAAATATAAAAGTATTTCCAATAAACTCGGGCAAATCGTGTCATTATTAAAACACTACAGTGCGTCTATATATCGTCTAATTTATCGTCTAATTTAATATATCGTCGAATTTATACTATACATCGTCTCATTTAAATCATTGATACATGAACGTTAAGTCTCGTAAAAACAATAAAGCTGTATTATAGTATTACCCGATAATTAAGATTTTACATAGAATCTTAGAGAGCGTCTTATAATGTGTCCNTAATATTTTATATATTTTTTTTTTTTTGCTTCGTTAACTTTGTGAACATAAATGCGATTGGAGCGAGCACAAAGAAAATGCATTGTGATTAAAAAGAAATTAACAATTGTAATTCAATACGTTAAAAATAAATACAAATAGAAAGTCTATAAAAAATCTCCTGAATAAAAAAGCATTTTATGTATGTTTAAATATAAAAGTATTGCCCATAAACTCGGGCAAATCGTGTCATTATTAAAACACTACAGTGCATGTCATAATGTGGTCTAATTATTATAATATACTAATGTAATACCTGGTATAATAAATATTCTATATTTATATAATATATCGTCGAATTTATACTATACGTCGTCTCATTTAAATCATTGATACATGAACGTTAAGTCTCGTAAAAACAATAAAGCTGTGTAGTATCATCTGATAATTAAGATTTCACATAGAATCTTAGAGAGCGTCTTATAATGTGTCCAGGGTGTATATAGGCTACAAATACACTGTTGTTCAATGATATCACCCTTCAGATACTATCACTGAGGGGGGGGGATAGATAAATCGTATCTTTATTATCTATTCCTTATACATTTCTAAATTCCCTTATCACGCACCTTGAAGAGAAGAAAGAAGAGGATGTGGTAAAAAGGATATAAATAAAATCTATTGAAAGTTCTGTTAGATAATAGATTTCAATAAGAGAAGGAAGGTAATGTCAATAGTTATATTACTTGCTCTGACAATAGAGCACGTAATACAATACGGACGTGACACTTCCTTTCCGCTTTTTATTCTTTCTTCTTTTATAAATGCAAATACTTTTTTCCGAGAGAATACAGTAAAAGTTCGAAGTAACGAGAGTTTATTACGAGAAGTCCGTTATAGCGGAATCTCCGCCAAAATGCTAACATTAAATATACAAATAGTGTATCTTTGTAACGAGTTAAAATTTAGTGAACTTCCGCTACTGACGACAAATTGTTTCGTTTGTTTTTTCGTGCTGTTTAAGGGAACTATATAACACAAATTAGAAATAGTAAATGAAAAATATTCTTATTTATTCAATTCCTAATTTCCTAATTTTCAGTCGTTCATAAAATTCTTTTTATTCATCCACTCAATTTCAAATACATTTTTTTTAAACTTGTAGTTGGTGATACTTGATGTTAATACAGATTTTTCAAATACTAATTCAATTTTTAAATTTAATTAATTTTAGTTCCATGCGGAAGAAAAATTTTTGACTAAAATAAAAATTTTCTTCATTGATCTAAATAGGAAGAAACTTTTTTTAAAAAAAAATTTATTACTTGTTTCTGCTACTATTAAAGAAAAGTGAAAAACGGACGCTTTATTATAACAATCTGAAACACTAGCTAAATTATCTTCTTTTTTTTAAAAAAAAAAAATTCTTCTGATGTTTCTCTCCCGGAAACTTCAAAAGAGTTTTTGTTGACAAATTCATCTTGATAATTTATTTCTGAATTCGGTACTGCACTTCATTTCATTGGGTTGTTTGGTACTTTACTACTGATAACAAGGAAGTGGGATCGAGTATTAAACACATAAGAATAGGTCAGAAAACTGCTCAAACGATAGTGGACTCGAGAGTGAGTTTAAGTACCGTTGACTACTGATCAAAAAACAGTGGGTTTGAGTCTGGCGCAAATGAGAGTGGGTTCGAGAACCAATTAAATAATAGAAGGTAGGTAGGTACTTTATTTACGTCGCACTAGACCTGCACAATGGACAATAGACCGCACTAGATTGACTACGGTTTGGGAAACATCCCTGACGATGATCCGAAGACATGCCATCACAATTTTGATTCTTTGTAGAGGGGATGGCACCCCTGCTTTGATAGCCCGAAGACCTGTGAGTGAAGTCTATCCCTCTACGGTAGCACAGTTTAACAAGGACCGCACACCCTCGGCCTACGCAGACTAATCCAAGTCGTCACCCACCCGCACACTGACCGCAGCCAGTGATGCTTGATTTCGGTGATCTGCCGAGAACCTTGTTTATTTGGTTAAAGAAGGTATTTTACCGAGCAATGAGCATTTTCACTGCTTGCGATTTCTTTGCTTGCGAATAATCTCCTCTGCAGCCCGACGGTAACCCGACGACCTGCGGGTGAAGTCGAGCACTTTTCGGTAGAACAGTTTAACGAGGACAGATATCACGCACCCTCTGTTCCTACGCAGGCTGATCAAAGTGGTCACCCACCCGCCTACTGACCCCAGTTAGTGATCCTTGATTTTGGTGTTCTACTGGAAATCGTGTCCTTGCGATCAGTCCACTTTACCATGCTCGTTGTAAATTGTCGTTAACTCATGCGTCGTTTATTAACTCGTTCGGTTTTGAATGCAAGTTGAAGTTTAGTGTATGAAAGAGGATATAATGAAGACGTTTTAGCATTAAACTGGTATATTTGCATAAAACGACAATTCGATTTGTTAGAAAATGGTGAATCTCGCTCTCGATTAAAAAAAAAATGAATCTTAAAGCAGCTATGTCATGACAAATTGTACAGTTGAAGTTTTGGGATCTAATAAAAATTTAAAAAAAAATTCTTTTTGCTTCGAGCTGGTAATAACAATGCATTTTTCTTCTTTTTATTCATTCCCCGAAAAAAATGAGCTGTGACATCGAATCTTGGCCCTTCATATACAGGGAATCTATAATTAAATGACCTTATTTTTAATCTATCTATAGTCGTAACCAATGATCGGATACAGTGCACTACAAGTAATCGCTACTTTTTGTAGTAGTTTGTTGCGTAGTGTGCTACTTTAAAAAAAGAAAAAAGTAGTGTAGTGAGTGAGTAGCGCGATACAAAAAAAAACAGTAGTTAGTAGTGATTCCTGGCAACTACTTTTAACGTTAGTTCAGTGTATGAAAGGGGTTTTGACACAACTCATTTTTCGAAAAAATTTTCGAGGGTTTGTCAAAGGAAGCCATTTTAAATGCCCCTAACTGTGACTGTGAGTTAACAAGAATTGCGTATTTAGAGTTACGTAACTTAGTCATTATGAGTGACAGATAATTTGACTCTTCGGTCACGCTTTCAACTGCGAATCGTAAAACATGGATGATATTTGAAAGGAAGGAAACATATTTTTGTTGTTCTTAGAGGAAATAAAAGACTATTAAACACTTAACCAAATTGCAAGTATTTGATAATTTTCAAGCATCTCTTAAATCACAAAGATTTCAATTCTTTCACTATACACTTATTACCTAACACAAAGCCATGTAGAACATAAACTAATTATCCATCGAAGTTACCAAACACAATAAAAATTTATATACATGTATCACGGAAAGAATAAAAAATGCATAAACAAATAATAAATCTAAATTAAATAAAAGACGTAGACGAAAAATAATTATATTTCAAAACATTCCACGTGTGATACGGAATTGTATTTAATTAACTTCACGTTGATTAACATTCTAGCTCATGAGGAGAGACTCAGCTGAACTTTAACTCGTCATTTTGCTTAAAAACAATCAGCTGGCTCTGACGTCATAGATCACATGTGTGGGTATCATGAACTTCTGAAATGCAAGTACCCAATTGGAAAACTTTTGCTTTGACGAGGTTCGTAGGCATGTAGTAGGTAGATACTTTATTTTACGTCGCACAATGGGCTATTTACTGGCGACAGTCTGGGAAACATCTCTGAGGATTATCCGAAGACATGCCGTCGCAATTTTAATCATCTGCAGAGGGGATGGCTCCCCTGCTTTGATATCCCGAGGACCTGCGAGCGAAGTCGATCACTTTGCGGTAGAAAGGTTTAACGAGGAGCAATACCGAGCATCCTCGGTCTCTACGCATACTGATCCAAGTGGTCACCCACCCGCTTACTGACCGCAGACAGTTAGGCTTGACTTCGATGTTCTACTGGGAACCGTGTCTTTGCTTTCAGTCCACTGCGGGACGAAGAGCTACGTAGATCAAGAGTTTTGAGCAGAAAATAGGAGCAAAAAAGATTCCTAAAGAATATTCGACTTAAAATTTTATAAAATGAATTAAAACAACGTAAATTTTGCTGTATGTAAAGTTACATATTTTAATTGAGTTTAATTTTAAAATCAGATTACAACAATAAAAATTAAAGCAAGAGGGGTTCAGGAATAGCATTTTTTTATGTGAGCATGAGAGGGGTTCGTAATTTACTTATTTTTGCGGACAGGAGGAGAATCCAAAATTGGCAATAAATGTTTATGTAATAATTCTCTGATAGACTCGTGATAATTACGTAATAATCTTTTACATGAAAAATATTGATATTGGTCTAGAATATTTTGTTTATACTTGTAAATATTGCTTTTTAATTAATTACAATAAGATATGTAGGCAAATGTGTATTCACTATTTTGTTTAAAAAAATAATAATAATACACAAATGTTCTTAATCTAAGAAATTAAAATGGTGGAACGTTTGATAAAGATATAAGAATTTACAATGTAACATAATTTTGTTAATTTAAATATTTCTTTTGTAGAGTAAATTACAAAAGAAAAAAAATTCTTCTTTTGTAAAGACAAAAAACAATTATTATAATTAAATGTGTACTGCTTTTAATGAAATAAATGTAAAACAAAAAATATAGGAAACGCATTCGATTTCAAATTTTATTTTTAATTTTTAACTCGGTTATTTTAATGGCCTTTGCGAAAATAACTATAATTTTAATAAGATATGTACTGATTTTAATGAAATAAACATAAAACAAATAATATACAAAGCATGTGTTAAATCCTATTTCAAATTTAATCTTCAACTTGATTATTTTAATGGCCTTTGCGAGCATAACAATAATTATAATTAGTTATGAACTGATTTTAATGAAATAAATGTAAAAAAGATAAACTCGAAATGTTTAATTGATTTATTTCAAGTATTTTTATTTTAACCAAAATGTGAGACGTCACACCACCTCCCTTTCCCTTATCACAAAATGTCACAAATCTTCTCCAAGCGTGACAACCACTTATTCAAAATTACAATTTGATTTTTTTTTTTTTTTCATTTCTGGAATCTTAAACGTCCAAATACATAACAACGAAGAATTTGTTTCTTCGCTATAATTGTTTCTTCTTCAGTAATCAATATTTCTTCTAGAATCATTCATGCACCCCTCTTATAAGCGATTCCTTAGAGTAAGTGACACACTTTAAAAAGAATAAAAATGTATCATTTTCCTCTTTTTTATTTACAAATCCTTTTCATTTTAGCAATCCATGTAGAAAAAAGAATAGATATGTTTACTTGCGCAATTTTAGATCTCAGCTCTTCAGGCGTGACGTTAAATGACGCAGCAGTCACGTGAAGTTATCCATCCAATGGGAGAGTCTTTTTATCTGAATGACCGCCAAATTTTTATAGATTTTGCCATCCTCGCCGTCCACAGAAAATATTTATTTGTTTTTATTGTAAACTTTGCAAATACTGTCACCTAGGGGGTCACGACGTCCGATTGCCCCCATAGATAGGACATCGAAAGAAGCAGCTGTTGATGTTTCACTTGGGAAGAGAAAATCACTCCTCTACTTCCAAAAATAAATGAGCCTTCACAGGTAAGCATTTAAAAACAAACATCTACTTTTAATCGTTTTTGAAAAGTACCATCTTTTAAATTTAATTGATATAAATATGTTTTTTTTTAATCATTCTAAAATGTTTATAATTAGCAAATAAATTTTAAACAGAAATTATATCGAAGCACTTTTTATCAGCATGTTGGTAATTTTTTGTTCTTATGTTTTATCGAGGTTCACAAAAACCCGAGTTATTAAGAAAAAAACCAGTCCACTCGAATTTTTAGGGGGTTTTTAATGGAAAAAAAACCATTAATGAAATAAATTTAAACCTACTTAAAAATCCATTTAATGAAATAAACTCCGGGGAATAATCCCCGGAGAATAATTGGATTTTTTCATGAAACGACCCGATTTCGCCCTGACATAAGTTAGTTTTTTTTTTAAATATATTCTACCTGCATATTTATATGTAGTAAATATAATAATGAGATATAGTATGAACTGAAAGAAATATTATCGTGATCTGTGGCAGATTCATCGCCAATATATTTAAAAAAGCCAGCGATATTTTTTTTAAAAAAACATTACAGAAAGGGACCAACTTGTAAGGTATAACTCGTAGCCAACAAAAGAACATACATCTATATGGGGTTTTTTTGTTCGTATTTTTTTTCTGAAATTTTGCAAGTTTAAAATCTGACGCCTTGGCGATTGCAGTTGGCGCGACAGATCACGATACGGAAATATCTATGAAGTTACTGAACTTATTCTTTGTAAAATATAAAGCATAATATGTTACGTTATTGATAGTTTTAAATTATAAATAAACACATTTGCTTTAAAGTTATTGAATGGCATTTCTAGAGGTATTGTATACATTCATGAAATAAAATGCCCGTATCTTTTGAAGTCCAAAGTCCATTAGTCTCAAGTCCATTTTCATTTTTCAATGTATGAGTTCTTCATATGTCTTAGAATGTACAAAAATATTTACAACTGTTATCGTTAATATACATTTGGTTTTCGTAATGTATGAAAAAAGATTATACATTTTAAGCCTTTGTTTTCTGTGTTATTACCTGTTTAATTTTTAAAAATAAAGTTATCATTGTAAAAAAATAATTTTCTATTTAATGCATAATTGTTTTTGTCTTACTTTTAAAATTAAAATTAACATTGTAAACAAATTCTTTTCTATTTAATGCATAATTAAGTTTGTCTTATTTTTAAAAATAAAATTATCGTTGTTGCATATGAATTTATAGTCAACTATCATGACATACAAATTTAACAGTAGTTGTTCTTATGTTTCAGAACTCTACTTTTCAAAGAAATATTTTAGAATATATTTTTTTTTACTTTTTGGAACATATCTTGTTCTGAACTTGTTATCACGCTATCTCGTGACATGTAACCGCTATGTCGAAATTTTTTAGTACCCCTTACACTTTGAGAAATCAAGAGTATACTGTATTTTTAAATATGGATGTATGTAATATAAATTTGTCGATGTATTTTTACAAATCTCGAAGAGTTTACAAGGTGTACATTTAAATCTTAAGACCTAATATTTCCCCAGAACACTTTTTTTTTCTGTTACTATAACCTTTTTAACATATTTTTCGTAAGTAAACGCTATATTTTGTTGAAACTTTCTCTTTAATTGAGAAAAAATATATTTTATTTTGGAAAATATTTGAATAAGTAGCCCATGTGTTAAAATAATATTGAATCAATTAAGATAGTAATTGTCTATAATTATAATTTGTAAAAAGACACATTTTTTTACGATTAAAAATTTGTGGCATTTTTTTTTTATTTAATTGTTGGGACTGCCTGAATTTGTCCTTTCAGACAAAAAGGATAAAAAGAAAAAAAACGAAGAAAATTAAGAAAGTTAATGTTTTATTTAATCCCAACATACGTTATACTCACACTATTGTATTGATATATTTTGCTTTGGCTTTATTGATTCAATATTAGAAAGCACTCCTTTTTGCTGTTATAATCGTGTGAGCTGAAGAAGAGATTATATCTTTTCTTCATTTTGTTTTCCGGTTTTTTAATATATAAATACATTTTTCCAATTTTTTTAAAAAGATTTTTAATATTTTTGCAAAAATATTTTATTTGAAATTTTTCTTTTTCTCTTTTGATTAATATTATTTTTCATGTTTTCTCTCTATTTTCTCGATATTTTTATTCTCTTTCTCTCTCTGTGAGTGTGTGTTATAGTTGTTATAGCGTTATAGTTGCGGCAAACTTGAAGTAATGACAAATTCGCCTTCTATTGTGGGTTATCATTTTAACGTACTATTACTTAACTACGAATGAAACTAAATATGCATAATATCACAAAGTGGGGAATTCCTTCACTTTAACACGCAACAACACTTCAAGGAAAACACAGTTCAGATATCTAAAGTAACACCGGCTATATTTTTTGCAATTGTTCGTGAATTGCAATTTCGTGGATTTTGCGAGTGTTTCTTGATGTTTGTGCTCTCATGTTTCTTTTTCACGCTACCATCAACAGATATAAGCAGCATCTAATAATACTGCATGCCCTATTTTCATAAATAAATTTATAACAGACTAAAAAACTTAGAATTCCAAGTAATTCATATTTTTAAATTGGAGAAACCCTATCCTATTTTAGAGGTATATTGTAAAAACGAGAATGTTATTTTACTTATTTAACGAAATACTATAAAATTGTGAATCGAATGATTTAAATTTATTCATTTTTTTTAAAATTTCTTCATTCTAAATATATAAGATAAGAGTAGCTTTAATGAGAGGTCTCTTTCAGGTGAATGGAATAAAAAATGGAGATGAGCAATGGTCCCCCAATAATGGAATCAGAAGAGGCTAAAAAAGAGATCTTAAATTCTCTCTTCCAAACTATCAATGTAGCCAAAGAACATTACAAAGACCTCGTGAAAACAGTAAGTTTGCTTCTTCTTCTCTTTCTATTAAATGTTTTTTAGGAGTTCAAAATGCACTTTACATTGAGAGATTTTACACTTTCGCGTCTCTTGAGAATGAACATTCTTCCGTAAAAAAATAAAAAATACATTTTTCTTGTATTAACTGTTGAGAATGGAATTTGTTCTCTAGAAAATGGATATTCTTTTGTGGTAACTGTTGAGAATGGAATTTGTTCTCTAGAAATTGGATATTCTTTTGTGGTAACTGTTGAGAATGGAAATTCTTCTCTAGAAAATGGATATTCTTTTGTGGTAACTGCTGAGAATGGAAATTGCTCTGTAGAAAATGGATATTCTTTTGTGGTAACTGTTGGGAATGGAATTTGTTCTCTAGAAAACGGATATTCTTTTGTGGTAACTGTTGAGAATGGAAATTGTTCTCCAGAAAATGAATATTCTTTTGTGGTAACTGTTAAGAATGGAAATTGTTCGCTAGAAAATGGATATTCTTTTGTATTAACTGTTGAGAATGGAAATTGTTCTCTAGAAAATGGATATTCTTTTGTGGTAACTGTTGAGAATGGAAATTGCTCTATAGAAAACGGAATTTCTTGTGTAGTAAGTGTATACAATGCTACCTACTATAGAAAACGGAGATTGTTCCTTAGAGAACGAAGATTGTTCTGCAACAACTATAGAAAAGGGAAATCATTCTGTAGTATATGCACTGTGCAAAACATGAGTATATTATTGCGTGTAAGATTTGTGAAATCGCAAAATTCCTTTAATGTAAAAATTCCAATTTGACTCTCTGTATTGAATTGTGAACCAAGATAACTCAGTGGTTAAAAGTGTCAATGTAGAGGACTATGGTTCGATCCCCAGTTGCGCCATGAAGCCCATCTTTATTTTAAGTTCAGCCAAAAGAATACCAGAAGTCACGAATATTGTAATGTTCATGGTTTAAGTCATACTGTTTGTTTAATATCATAACCGGCGTGAAATAGCTGACCCGTTTTTGGGGTTACCACTATTAATATTCAACTCCATAGCCTTCTCACTTTGAACCCAATCCAGAGGAGAAGAGAACTCCTGAATCAAGGATTAGGCCAAACTAATCTTCGGGTAACACACTTTATTTGTACCAAATCGTATTTAAGTTACATGGAGAGGAAAACTGCGAAATCTTCCAATGGGTAGCCCGAGGATAAGAGGATCCTAACTCATGATTACTGACTATATTTTACTTCAATACTGTTCTCAGACTTATTAATTAGTGTATCACTATTCAAGAGTTTATTTCGAAGAAATATGGGTCTCTTAACGAATCCTCCACAAATTCGTGAAAGTGGTATCTTTACAAAATCCTTCACAAAAATTGTAAAAGCTGTCTTACACTATCCTATGTAGTTGCATGACAACACACTTGATTACTAACTAGCAAAACAAAAAATAGTGGAAATTCTTAATTTTCTTTTTTACTTAAGATTATTTATCGTTTTTATAATTATGCCATTCTGTAAATGTAACATATTTTAATTGTCAATTTTTGTTTTTTAACTAATCATTTATAAAAAATGAATTCTAGGGCTAGTGTAGTTATGGAGTTATTACTGACCTGTCAATTTTAGTTTTTCTCAAACAGTATTTATTAACAATATTAAAAAACTAATACGTTAATACTCGTTTTTTTTATTACACATAAAATTATAACATTTTAACAGTAGTTGTAAAATGTGTTTCTGAAGTTGTTTTAGTTCCCTTGCTTCTCAGAAAACATTTTATTTTGATCAGCCAAACTCGGTTATAAAGTAAAAACCAATTAAACTTTTAATAAAATAATATTTTTCGACTAAATAAATTTTAAAAATATACTTCTAAGTACAGAGAGAGTAAGTTGTCTTTGAAACTAATTTTTTTCCTTAGTTTTGTTTTGTTCTAGTCTATTATGCTGTAGTAGTTCTTGTGTTGTCCAGCTCTGTTATTAATTGAAAATTGCTATTTATTAAGCTTTAAGATTAATTTATACGTATTTTGTTAAGATTATTTGTATTTTATTCGAGATTGTATTTTTAGATTAAAATTATGTTCTTTTTTAGTTTTACTTAAAGTAATAATTTAAAAATATAATCATTCTTGTGATTGGACGCACTAACTAATACCTCTTAGAAAAGAGAAGACCTCAGCACGGGTTATCATAAACAAGAAATTTGATTTAGAAGACCGAACGTAATATCTTTCGTATTTTTCCCCCACTACGCAGCTTAGTACCCCGAACGTAGTGAAACCTTCCTTATTTTTCCTCCACTGCACAGTTTATGTTCGCTACGTCGGACTACTAAATAATCTAAAGCCTAAATAATCTACAGAATGTCTAAATTATCTAAATAATGTGCACATTAACGGTCTCCACATCTTTAAAGTTCAAAAGTCATACTAATCCATCAAGTAGTTTGTTGATTATATGAACGTGATTCCTTAGATACAGAAAAATAAATAAATGAATGTGACAATTTTAATTTCCTGAACTGCAAAAATATTTTATATGGTTTTACTCTCGGTACTATTTTTTCGTAGTGTTCTATCAACAGATGTATTAATTGACTTAAGTGACATTTTGTTAATTTATGGGTATAGAAAATTCTAGTTAAGATTTCTAGTAAAGATCACCTAAGCGAGTACTTATTAGGCAATGTGCTGCTGGTACTTTTCAGATTACCTAGATAATTTTCGGATTATTTAGGCAGTTAGAAAATTATCTAGGTAGTTTGCAGATTATCTAGGTAGTTTGCAGTTTACCTAAGTAATTTACAGATTATCTAGGTGATGTGACATTTTGTTAATTTAAGTGTACCGAACATACTAGTTAAGATTTCGAGTAAAGATCACCTAAACGAGTACTTATTAGGAAATGTACAGATTAACTAGGTAAATTTCAGATTACCTAGGCAGTTGGCAAATTATCTAAGTAGTTTTTAGATTATCTAGGTAATGTGCAGATTATAGAGGTAGTTTGCAGACTATCTATGTAGTTTGCTGTTTACCTAGGAAATTTATAGATTATCTAAGTAATGTGACATTTTGTTAATTTAAGTGCACAAATTGCTAGTTAAGATTTCTGGCAAAGTTCACCTAAACGAGTACTTAGCAATATTCAGATTGTAAGTATAGTTTGCAGATCACCTTGGTAAATTTCAGATTATCTAAGCAATTAGCAAATTATCTAGGTAGTTCGCAAATTATCTAGGTAGATTGCAGAGTATCTAGGCAGTTAGCAAATTATCTAGGTAATGTACAGATTATCTAGGTAGTTTTCAGTTTACCTAAGTAATTTACATATTATTTAGGCACTGTACAGATTATCGAGGTTGTTTGCAGATTATCTAGGTAGCTTTCAAATTAACAAGGTAATTTGAGAATGAAACATTTTTCGGCACCCTAGTTCACATTAGCTAAATAATTTACAGGATGATTTATTTCTACACTTTAGAGGTAACACTATTACGAAGCATAAGAATAATTATATAACATACTGCTAGTTTTCTGGGGGCAAATTGTGACGATTAAACCTTTTTTTTTGAAGAAACATTTCTTGAAATGCATGTATTTACATTGATTTAATATTTAGATTAATGAAATATTTTACTTTCAGACTCAAACTGTGTATCCAGGATTTGAGTTCGGTCATTACGATGTCCACCATCTTCCATTTCTTAAGATTGACAAATCAATAGAGGTAAGTGTGCAAATCTCGGGTTTATTTTAATAAGGGAGTTCTTTCCAAAATCATAAATAACACTGGGCGTTCTCTGAAATACGGGAACAGTGTTTAAGCTGATTAAATTTTTCAACTACAGTCGGGCTTCAATTTAACGAACTTTTTGGAACTCTCTTTGGAACCGAGAACATTTTGAAAATTTTATCGTAAAATAACTTCCAAATAGCGAAGTGAATTTTCAACTTAACGAACTTTTCTTTAAGATCCACATTCCCTATTTCCCGAAATATTTCAGAGCATTTCAAACTTGTTAACGCATTTTATGGGAAAATGCCCTCGAATTGATTTTCGACTCCACTCAATTTTCAGAGAAAGCAATAAAATCCATTTCCCTTTTTGTTTGCATTTCAAACGAAAAATGAACGAATTTTATCAGTAGCAATGAAACTTAGGAACGCATTTGGTAATGTATGTTTAAAATTACTTTCATATTAAATGCAGATAGAATTTTATACATAAGTTTAGCTTTTTATAGTTGAAAATGTATGTAGCATGATAGTGTAACACTGGATAATGTTTTGCTCTATTCTTGCTTTCCATGCAGATTTCTTTTATATGGTTACGATTTATGAAATAAATATTAGATACAAGTTTACAAGAAGAGGGTGTATCCATTGCTATTTTAATTATGTCCAGTGCTTATGAATTTAAAACCTGTTTTGTGTTGTTTAAGTATTTTAAAAGGTGATTTTCTTTTTAACGAATTCTCCATATAACGAACGTATTAACGGGATTTAGCGGCTTCGCTAAATAGAGATCCGACTGTATTTGAAAACGGCTGTGGTTTTAGCATTACCTTACGTATTATCTGTTTCATTGTTTCAGGAAGCTGATTTATGGTCCATCATTCAACTGCTACGGAAATATTCAGCTGTGCTCAATCACATGACCCAGGGGGAACAACTAGAGGAAGAATACCGCCTTTCCATTATGCAAGCTAGATGGAACATTGACCAACTTGTGGATTATGCCACTTTTATGGCAAGAATTATGGAAGAAAAGGACGTCACAGACGAAGGTCCACTCGTACTTCCAGACGAACTGAAGTTAGCGTCCAGTCCATCCAAAAGACAGAGAAGAGATATTTTGACCATCAGGGATTATGGGAAACTTCTGTGCTACATTGAAAACGTACTGATGCAATATAATGTTTAGAGCTCTCGAGAACGCCATTTTGTCAGGATAGACACATGATCTGTAAAAAACAAAGCTGAGAACTCTCAATTGCAATTCAATGGATATAAACATCAAAAATCATTGAATTATTCATTTTAGCTACGGAAGTCATTGGTTCATAAATTTCGTGGGCAAAAGTGCAATTTAGCTAAGACAACGATAAGAGCTGGAAAAAATTCTCAAGAGAGAGATTAAAAACCAAATTTAAAACTAATCTAAATATTTCTAAACGATAAAGAGGGGAAATAATGATAAGTCATATTTTAAACGATTCAAGAAAACGTTTCCACAATTTCAATGTCTTCAGTAAGAAGTTTCTGTGTATTCTGTAGGGTTTAGCATTTGGAAAAATTTTGAGAACTTCAAAAACACATATACCTCAAGAACAGCTTAAAGTAAAAATATCACCTATTTTAAAAGCGTAGTTTATGACTATATTTCATTATATTTAATGCATTTTTAATCGAATGCATGAATATTTTGAGGTATTGAGTTAGGTGTTGAGTTGATTTTAAAGTGTGGGCTTAGGACCCGTTTTTACTGCATACGATTCACGAACCTCCGACAACCATCGAGAGAGAAGAACATGATTGGTTTAGCTTTTCGCGGGCGAATACATTTCACCAATTGGGTTTTAATTCTCCTTCGACGATCATCGTATATGCTTGAATCGCATGCTGTGAGAATAGGCCTTTTAAAAATAAAAAAATATTCATTTACAAATTATGTTCGATATTTTAATCCATTCGATGTTCGTCCCAAATTTGCTGAATTTTTTTTAAAAAATCCAAACAGCTAGTACATTTTTAAAAAAGAAGAAAACATTATAAAACGTTTTTTCTTGTAGGCATAAGTGACTTCAGTTGCGAATGACTTTATTTATAAATGAACTTTTCAAACTCAAATTATAAGAAAAATAATATGAATACAACTTTTAAGCAACGATTCCACACAAATCGTCTTTTTGAAATAGTTTAGTTTTATTTTTAAACTTTCGTTCTTGAATTAAATACGTTGTCTCAATACATGCTTTGCTTTGATAGTTGTATAGAAATATTTTATAAACTGCGTGAATGTAAATATTAGAAATTAATCTACCTCATAGAACATGCGAAAGTAGATTTGACCTCTTAAAACCTTGTTTAACATTAAAAGCGTTAAAGAATGAAGAAGAAAAACTTTTTTATGTTAAATTGAAATAATACAGAAGTCGACATTATTTTAATACTCAAAGCACCTCATCAGGAAGACACGATGAAAATTTTTAGAAACAATCAATTAACATGTAGAATACTGACTTAGATATATTTCCCCCTTTATGATTAAGAATAAAATATTTTCTTACAAAATATTAATCTATTACTCTGTTTAGTGAAGTGGACAAAACTCGTTTAGAACTTTTTGTAATTCTAGAGAAGTGTATTTTTTGCCTTAAATAGTTTTGCTACTTTATTTTTCTACTTGAGGATAATATTTGCGAATGCTGTGCTTATTTTGAGATTGCTGCGCTTAAGATTAATGCATTTATTTATCTATGTGAATAATGCATTTATGCTTTTATCTACGTAAGAAATATAAAGGTGCGCCTTTATATTTTTTATAAAAATTCGATGCATTTCTGTACAGTTGCATTGATTTTAGCTTTTAAATTGTTAGCAAATATTCTACTGTTGAGAAATATTATAAAAATACAAAATACGTTCAAAGTTTGAAAAAGTTTAGTATTTTTTACTTAAAATGAAAGATGTTCTTTAATGACTGCCCATCTTCTTTTGTGGCTCTACAGCCCAATGTAGGCATTGTCCTGCTAAATAATGTGGTTCCTATATTTTATTTTCTTGACGATGGAGTTTTAGTTGGACATTTTAATTACAGTTAGATCGTTTATTTATATCATCTAATCATCACTTTTTGGAACTTGAGTACATTTCAAATTAGATATTTTTCTGGCCCATATTTTCATTCATTCTCATTGACCGCTCTTAATATGTATTTTAGGATTCTTGTTGAAAGTGAAACAAAAATTATGCTCATTGCATTTAATAGTTCGAGAGCTTAACCTTAAATATGGTAGTTAACTAAAGCAGATGTGTTTAAGTTACGAAAGGATAATTTAAATTACGAAATCAGGCACAAAAACGTACTTCATTTGACATGCATTTTTTCAGATGGATTTGGATTTTTTACTCTCGATACGGGGAGGGGATAGCCGCAATTTTGAAAATATGACCCCCAATAGTTTTGGCAGAAGACCTATCTGAAGTTTCCCTTCCTTAATTTTAATTTCGTTTTTTTCCATACACGAATTTTAAAAAAAATCATAACATTCGCTTCAAAAATAAAATGCCATGCAAAAAGTGCTTTAATAATTATTTATGGTTTTTTTATTGTTTTGATTAATAATAGTAAAAATATTAAACAAAAATAATGAATTGCGAGGTATGCAAACCTTAACATTATTTTGGAGAATAGAAAACTTGAACAAAAATGGTCAAATTCTCCTTGGAAAGTGAAACTTTAAATCCATGGCTTTTTTAAAAAAAAAAAAATTTCATAAATAAACGAAAATAACAATAACGTGTCTAAACTTTCGATCGCTCTCCTGACCAAACTCTTGGAACTATTTTTTTTTTAAAATTACCATTCATATCTTGTGAGTCTATAATCGAAAACCTTCGAAAATAAATGGTATTTTTACTCAGAAAATTTATATTTTTTTACTGTATACCGTTAAAAGTTAGTCCAAGTGTATGATGATCTAACCAAAAGTTTCTCAGGTTTTATTTCACTTTTTAAGTACTGTATAGTGTGTACCCACCTTCCTTAATCGCAATTTGTTAGATATAATTCGTCTATGGTAAGAACTCCCTCCACCTCAAAGCCTGAGGCCGTCTGCTGCTATGGAAATAAGAATAGCGCATTTCAGGGAGGGTAGTTTTTTTTACTCCAGGGCTGACACAATAGACAGAAGAAAAAGATTCACTTTCTCCAGCTGACCTCAGCAATTATCCTAACAATTACCCCACAACCCTAATTGAAATAGTTATACCTAATTACCATAGTCACCGCCACGGGTCCAGACGAATGGCTAGGGGAGTTCTTACTTTAGGCAAACTATATTTATTGTATTTTTTCATTGTTTATGTATTTGTTTTTCGGACCCAATGTGTTCATTTTTCGTTTTGTCTTCAGTTTGTACAAGAATTCAAAAACTATATTTTGAGGGCGATCAATATAAAACACTCTGTATAATACAGTGAAGGGTTCGCGTGTATTTTTAAAGACTCAAAAAAATATAATTTCATTAATTGTTTTATTATAATAAAATATTTGCTTTATCTAAAAAACAAACAACAATGTTTTAGAATATTTTTGGAAAAATTATCATGTGAAAAATTTTTTTTTGGAGACCTGATAGTAGACAGGATTTTTGCGATAAATACGGCTCCTTAAAAAAAACTAATGAATCTGTCTTATTAAAACCTTCCACATTTCTCAAAGAGTAAGGATGATACTTTCTCCCTTATTGCTTGTAAACAGAACAGGCGTCTCAAAGTTACGAGAATCCACAAGTTTCTCCTTTCCTTTACAATGGATTCGACATATTTTGTTGTTTTTTCTCTCCAACGTTTCCATAAAAAGTTGAACTATATTTCAGTGGAGATAAAGCAAGATTTGAGGAAACCATGATAACGGAGAAGAGAAGAGTGTGGACTCGCGTAACCTTGAGATTACCTAATCCAGTAACACAGGGTAATGATTTGTCCCGTAGGAAAATATTCTTAGTTGGTTGTATTATTGTATAATATTTTTTAAGAAAGATTTTCTTGTATTTGAATCTTGTGTAACCCCTTGAAAATTAAAAAAAAAAACATTAATGTCATGAATTTCAAAACAATTCAACTGTATTATAGTTTTTCATATGTCATCTATTTATTTAGAGTCAATCTACGTGGATAAATGTATTTGTGTTTAATAAAGAAATCTAACAAAAAGCTGAATATTACTCTCGAAACAGCTACATTAACTTCATGAAAAGTGACATTGTTACCGTAAATGATCGACATCAAGAGAATGTCGACAATCACTTAGTCACTTTTTTGAATATCTAAAATATTTGCTATTTCCAATTCGATATTAATTTATTCGGTGATTATCCCGGAATGTTATATTTCTTCTATATTTTAATACCTGCTGAGGATAGATTAGAAGAGAAACATCAGTGTTTGGAGTATCGGTTAAATGCATACCGGGCAGTGGCACTTGACATTATGAAAACATTGATGTAGGGCATACCGGGCAACTATATACTCAGCAGTAGCATTGAACCCTAAAAAAACATTAGTGTAATGTATACCGTGCAGTGGCACTCAACTAGGCCTATTACATATTTCGGACATTTACCAAAGCGACTGTATGATTGTCAACATTCACCGGTGGAAGTCAGCAACTCCCCATTTCTGTCATTCACAGTAACAGCATCAACGATAGTAATTGCACATTTTAGTGAAACAATATAAAAATGTTATTACTTTGCTACTGATTACTTTTGAGTCATTGAAAAATATTTTGCTTTTTTTTTTTTTCGTATATTTGTTACTCTTAGTTCTTCGATTTTGCGGCGATTTTATCAATTTTCATTTGTATTCGTGAGGACAGGACTATCTGGAATGCTGAAATCGTTGCTGGGTTTTTCGCGCCTGGTGACAAAGAAGCAGATTTCAAGCATTTCCAAAACAGAGTTTATAGTTATTTCTTACAGAAAATAGTATTTTACGCCAGTCCAAATTTTGAACCAGATTTTAGATTAACTAGAGTACTCATTTTAACTTTCGCTTTGTGCCGATGCACGTAATCGATGGTTTCCTAAATTACGCAAAGACAGTTTATTGACATTTCATCACCACACATGAAATAAACAAACAAATAGATACAAAAATAGACGGGGTTTAAAAATGATATGAAACATTTTGAGGAGTATGTTTGTAAGGCGGGATAAAATAAGAAAATAATTTTATGGAAAATGCAGATCATATCATTTTCGTCATAAACTACAATCGAAATTGGAAATATAGATTACAACAATATAGATAAAAATATAGATAATTAAAAATATAGAGAAGACATGGAAAATATTAAAGATAATTAAAAAAAAGAAGAAAAATTATTAAAATAGAATAAATAAAATAATTTTAAAATATATATTTTCGCATCATGATATAATCAAAGATAGAATCTCTTCATCAGCTCACACGGTTATATTCGTAAAAAGGAGTGCTTTCTAATATTGTATCAATGTAGCCAAAGCAAAATACATCAATACAACAGTGTGAGGAACGTATATATACATATTTTAATTAAAGAGCTTTTCCCATTATAACTCTAATGACAGACTTCTTACTTTACAATTATTGCTTTTGCAGTGGTGGCTCAGAGATAGAGGGCTTGCCTCCAAATGAGGTGACCTGAGTTCGAATCCCAGCGACGGCTAGCCGATGTGAATTCCGTATCCAGCTCGCTCCGACCACAGCGCTGATGTGAAATATTCTCAACAGACAGGCGGATCCTGGCTAAAAGTCACCTTGCCGACAGGCTAACCATAGGAGGTTTCCGTGATTTTCCTTTTCATGTAAAACAAATGCTGGTTAATTTCATCAAAATGTCCTCCATAAAGGCAAATTTATTTCAATACTTGATCCAAGAGTTCTCTTGTCTTCTGAATTAAGTTTAAAATTACAAGGCTACAGAGTTGAAGATGCGTAGTTGTAAACTCAAAATTGGATCGGCTGTTCAACGAAGGTTATAAAAATAAAAATATACATTTATTGTTTACAGTGTTCTGAATTCAAATCAATTGAATATTTTTAAAAAAAAAACCTAAAATGTAAATAAACTTGAATAGACAGATTTATTAAAGAGTAAATTTAATCATCCAACATTTATAAATTACAGAGATTATAAAGACCCTACATTATCATTTTTAGAAACTATCATTGTGTACAAGAGTGATATGAGATAACATCTGATAAGAGATAATCCCAAAATCTTTCATGAATTAAAACTTGAGATCCAAATTTTGACCGTTTTGTTTTCTTACTCAGCACAGTTTCACATGTTCCATTTCATACACGTTACACTTCAATATATCTTTTCTCAGGATCTATTGCACCGATATTCAAAAACATTTCCAGTCGCAGAAAAAAACAATAAATGCGTCTCGCACATCTTGGTATAACATTCAAAGTGACGGTGCTTGCGAGGGATTTATTCAAGATTTACAACTCATTGATTGAAGGTTTAGAAATCAGGAGACAATAAATTCAATTTCAAAAGTGAAATCGTGCAAATTTTTGGTGGCTCTGTTAGGGATTTATATAGAGATATTTTTAATACTGACTTAATAATTATTTTTAATAATAATTCTTTGATATTCTTAAAACTATTCTTTTTATTACTTATAAACAAGAAAAATATTTTTAAGATCTTGAAGGAAAGACAATTTTACGTGAATCGGTCATTTTTATAAGGGCAGGTTTGCACCAAAATTGAACATTTTTAAATGGGCTTCGATGTATCAAATATGACCATTATTTCATGGTCTGAGAAACATCAAAATAGCCGTTTTTATATGGGCCGTTTTGTATAAAAATTGATCATTTTTACAAGGATTTATCTATTTCAAAGTTGAACATTTTTACACGGGATGGTTTCTATCAAAATGGATCATTTTTACGTGAGCTGTTTTACATAAAAAGTTATCATTTTTACATAGGTTTATCGATTTCAAAATTGAACATTTTAACATGGAATGGTTTATATTAAAATTAAACATTTCTGCGTGTACTGGTTTATATCGAATTGACCATTTTTACATGGGCTGGTTTAGAAGAGAATTGAGCATTTTTACATACTCTGGGGTTGACCATCCAAATCTTTTCAGGCAGCTTAGCCATTTCTACTTTTTGTTGAATGGAAAATACTTTCAATTTGTTTTATATAAATCCATTAACAACCTCAGTAAGCAACAATAATAAAAAAGTTTAGAGTGTGAAGTTTCAGAGGCGACATTTCTGGTTTTATGTGCAGTTTGGTAACACAGTTTATAATTTTAGAGCAATAATTTTAGCTTCAGCTCTAAGCCAACATTCCATTAAATACTCCAAATCATCAGTGCTTTGGCCAATAATCTTCCAAATAAACTCCAGTTGTCTTGCTGATCCAGTCTAAATATTTCTGTATTTTAACATAAACACCAGGAACACCAGGCTGACCACAATCTATACCCCAGGACACGATACCGGCCAGAGCATAACTCTTATCCTTTCTGTAACAGACCAGGGGACCTCCTCCATCTCCCTGCAACAATTATAAGTAACATATTATGATAATGTGCAAGCAAAAAAATAAATGACATATTATGATATATTATGCCTGCAAAATTATAAATGACATATTATGATAACATGCCTGCAAAATTATAAATGGCATATTATGATAATGTAACAGCAAAGTAAAATAGACTTATGTTAAAATAGTTGCAGATTGATCCGTAATGACGCATACATTTTTAAACATCCTATCAAAAAAGAAGTAAATAAACTATACGCATTAATTTCATAAACAAATTTTTGAGAGAAGAAGACGTCTAATCGATATCTAATTCCTGCTGAAAAAAAGGAAGACTAAAAACATTTAAACCTGTTTGATTGCCAGAAGAAAGCGAGAAGAACTGTAAAGCTGTTATTACAGAAACCTCCTAGTTTCATTAGACAATCAAACTGGTTTACATTCCACTTTTCTACAAATTTCGACACCATTTTTTTCTGTTTCTTTTTCGTATGTTAATTCGTATGTTTCGGATGCAAATTAATTCGTATAAAATTTCGTATGTTTCGTATGTAAATATTAATTTTCAACACCTAATGTATTTATAAACTTTGTTAAGAGTGGTCAATGCGTTGCACCCTGTATTTTTAGAATCCTTGTAAAAAATAAAATTATTACTAAATGCACTTTGATAGTCACAACTGTTAAGCGATTGTTTTTTAAGGTTTTCCGCAATGACCCCATTTAATTTTTACCTTTTAAATATAAAGTCAGGAAGCGAATACACCGCAATTTGAGTGAGAAAAAAATATTATCAGAATGTGACGGGTCATTATTGAGCAAGCAGGATATAAACCATCAAAACCAATTTGATTGTCAGAAAAAAATTAAGTCAAATGTTAGAAATGTTTTTCATTGTGATTAGTCAGGTTTTAAGGTTTCAAACCCCACCATGTTCCGTAATAATTCGTCAGATTTTGATAATTCTTTTCTCCGATTTACGATCAACCTGATATGTACGTCATTTACTTCATTTTTGAAAATTATGCATTAAGGGTGGTTACTGAGAAACATCCTGGTTTTCTCACTTTGCAAGAGTCCAGTCCATACTCTCCTCCGGCGCACAGGAAACCATCATGCAATTGGAAAAATCGTCCCAATCTTGTCTTCCTCAGCATCTCTTCACACTGATAGTTATCGATCACCTGTAATGCCACTTCCTTCATAATGTTCGAAAACGTTCCTCCCTCTGCAATGAATCGTCTAAGAATTAAAATACAGAATAGAATAGAATTTAAGAACTGTCTAATTGCGATATACATCCCCTGAGAAATTATTAATGGCTTTCTTAAAAAAAAAAAGGTTCGTGAGTATAACTAAATAAAATTTAAAATGTCAAGAAAAAAATCCAATAAGAGTTCACTAACTGCATACGAACTATGTTTTACGAAATTGTTAATAACTGTAATGCATAACAAGTATTATGTAGATCTGTTTTGTTTCTTAAAACTAACCAGTATAATATTTATTTAGCAAATTGTTGCTCATTTTTATATATGATTTATGGCTCCTTTTCCAAAGATGTTTCATTAAAAAAATATAGTAACTTTCATTTTGTTTTGATTGGTAATATATGAGAAATGTATGACCACGGCGTGTCTAAAAATAACAGGATATATGAAATGATAAAAAAAAACAATTCACCACCCTCTATAAGTTGACTACCTAAGTTGATCACTAAAGTAATGAATCGCAAGTGTCCGACTTACACAGGCAAGACATATAAGCATAAACTTACTGTAAGCATCCTTTCCCCATCCTGTGACAACACAGTTCTGTTGGTCAAATATCTCATCGTATTTGGGGAGGCAGATGGTGTCTATGTGTGGAGCGAACAGCACAGCTTCCTCTAGACGTAAAATGGCAACATCGTTCCATAGACTGGTGTTCTTAAATTCCGGATGGACTATGATCTTTGAGACTCTGTAGTCCTCGTGAGCCAAGAATTCAGAAGTCGTCTGCGTATCCCACTCACCCAGACGAACTTTCAGAGGATAATCATCGTATTTACTGAAAGTCAAAGATTTTCTAATTGAGACTAAAAGTAATAATATAGTACACACACCACAATAGAACATATGAAGTTTTAAATACATGGGAATAAGGGTTTAAGTAGAAATGGACATAGTGGTTCCCAATTTTTTTCACAATGGAATCTTAAGAACCTTCTTTCGGTGGAACCCCGATTTTTTTAACGTCAGCGCTGTGGTCGGTGCGAGCAGGAAGCGGAATTCGAATTGACCGACCGTCGGTGGGATTCGAACCCCGTTCACCTCATTTGAGGCCGAACGCTCTATCGCGTCTTATGGTGGAAAGTACTTAAGAAAAGGAATTTACTTTTTAGTGTAGAAAATCTGTGACAACCGCGACTTGTTAGGAATTAAAATGTATACGCAGAACTATTTTTAGTTAAAAAAAAAAAGCAAAAATGCAATAGTTCAGAATTCAAAATAGTTAAAGTTATTTAATTTCTACTTTTTTAAAGAAAAATTACGACCGTAAGACATTTCTCGAGTTGTGATTAATTTGTTGTGGTATTGAATTCGTGGAATTGACGTGCATTTTCTTCCTCCAAAAGCGTGTTAAATATGAAATAGTTTTAATTCCGATATTTTTCATTTCTAGGAAAGAATAAAATATTGAAACGTAACTTATTCTACCAATAGAAAATATGTTCAGTGACTACAAAAATTACAGATTTTAGTGCATGCATAGAATTTTTTTTTCAAATCTTTGAAACATCATTTCTTAATTTCTTTCTTGCAACTTATGATTGTTTTATATTAGGCTCTTCCGTTATGAGAACACATTAGTACAGCAGTAATATGTCTGAAAAAAATTTTAATTGGATGAGCTCATATGAATAACGATTACGAAACATACATTGGAAGAACCAATTGTAAAACAGGTTTGTCTCTTTCAATATGTGGATGTTACTGTAAATGACAGAAATGGGTAGTTGTTGACTTCCACCAAGGAATGTTGACAATCACATAGTCGCTTTGGTAAATGTCCGAAATATATACTAGGTATAGTTAAGTACCACTGCCCGGTACACATTTTCCCTGTTATGTCCTACATCAATGTTTTTTAAGGCTCAGTGCCACTGCCCGGCATGTCCTACAACGATATTTTTTGAAGTTCAATGCCACTGCGTCGAATACATTTGCCCGGTATGCCCTACATCAATGGTTTTTAAGGTCAAGTGCCACTGGCCGGCATACATTTGCCCGGTATACCCTACACTGATGTTTCTCTTGATCTATCCTTAGCAAATATTAAAATATCGAATAAATATAATAATATCAACGAATAAATTAATATCAAGTCGGATGTAATAAATATTTCGGACATTCACCAAAGCGATTGTTGACATTCACACCGGTGAAAGTCAACATTCTCTTTAATTCATTCATTCATGGTACCATGGATAGCTTAGTTTTTCAGACAATCACGGTAGTTAATTGAAAGTAAGTGCGTACTTACTACAAATGAAAGACACAGTGTGCGACAGTCAGGACATGAAACTTATCAATGAGTACTCCACCGCACATGAAAATATTGACTTTCCCCTCAGATTTCAGAACAGCTGCCTAAGATAATTTGAAAGAGGACATTATATGAAAGCTTTCAGTACAATCGACGACTCAGGGCTTCTAACAAGCATTTTTTTTTAATATATAAATAAACAAGTAATATATAAAAAAAAATTGAATGTCAATTCCTTCTTAGGTCAACAAAGGAGGAAAAAATTTTTTGTTACTTTTTGGTAAATAATTAAAAAACTTTCCCCCCTATGAAACTAAAATTATTGAATTAAATTTAATGAATGAATCAATATTGAACAAGAAATTTGAACAAGATGTAGAGAGAGTGCGAACTAATAGTAAGAATTGAATAAAAATTGAAGCAACATATCGTTAGAAGTAAAACTCTTCAAAAATCCGATCTATCGTTAGCGAGGAGGTCGAAAGAGCAAAGTTGGGATTAAAATCATTAACTAGTTTTAAAAACTGGGATTGGACTAATATTTATTTCGTTAGAAATATTTTGTTCCTAAATTAATTTTTTTTAGACCGAAACTCTTTTAGATGTATTTCCAGGTGTTAGTTTACGCTTACTTCTTTATTGAAATTACAATCTCGAAAAACGAGATCGTTGTCTTGTAGTTTACCGCAATCAACAAGAAACCAAAAGAATTAAACCGTTACAAGACAATCTGATGATACAATTTTTGCCTTTTTATAGATCGAAAAAAAATCGTTCTCACTTTAAAATCAACAAATATCATAAATGTGTTGTTTTTTTTTCAAAATATTTAACTTCGTAAAAATAGCTAATAAGGCTATATTTTTAGTTACATTAACAACAATAAACATAACCTATATTTCTGGATTTTTTTTATCATATTTCTAAGAGTTTAAATAAAGCGGCTAACTTTTCCAACATGAAAAAGTTAGATTCCAAACACTTTTTAATTTTCACAGAACTATAGCTTTTCTTAACAATGATATTTTAAGCCATTGTCATAGTTATAGCTGACAAACTCACAAAACAGTTATAAAAGTAGTATCACTAAAAAATTTTATTTTATAGGACAGTCACTTCTTAGTGGCATAAATGCTTCTTGTAAAAACATTTATGAAATAATATATCTCTGAAAAGTGTTATTTCTTATGATAACAGTCATAAAATAGTATCTCCGTAAAGTGTTATTTCTCATGATAACAGTCATAAAAATAGTATCTCTGAAATGTGTTATTTCTTATGATAACAGTCATAAAAATAGTATCACTGAAAAGTGTTATTTGTTATGATAACAGTCATAAAAATAGTATCACTGAAAAGTGTTATTTCTTATGATAACAGTCATAAAAATAGTATCTCCGTAAAGTGTTATTTCTTATGATAACAGTCATAAAATAGTATCTCCGTAAAGTGTTATTTCTTATGATAACAGTCATAAAAATAGTATCTCTGAAAAGTGTTATTTCTTATGATAACAGTCATAAAAATAGTATCACTGAAAAGGGTTATTTCTTATAACAGTCATAAAAATAGTATCATAGGGAAGTATTATGTAATATGACAACGGAGTCATTGATACTAAAAAAATATTAAGGAAAATGTGAATCATGGCTCATTTTTCACTATAATATAAATAACTAAAAGTGTTATTTTGTATGATAACAATTAAAAAAAATCGTATCACTGATAAGTGTTATTTACTATGATAACAATCATAAAAATAGCATCACTTAAAAGAGTTATGTAATATGACGACAAAGTCATTGACACTAAAAAAAAATATTAAGGAAAAACATGACTCACTTGCCAGGGCCATTCCCCAAAATCAGCTTCACCCTTGTTACTGGGGGACAGAATCCTGCTGTTGATTCCACTTGGGTTACGAACCCCGCACCTGTGTTCGTATGGTGTGACGGTAGATGTCTCTGGAGTGTTACAGCAGACATGGAATGGACCACATGTTGGAGGCTTGAATTTACCATCCTTTCATTTCATTGAAATATATAGTGAATATATCAGTGACGACATTTTATATAGTGTTCTAATATCTTATTACTATCTTATTTCCTCATCACTTGATCTTATTATTTTCATCGACGTTATGTTATACCTTTGGCATCACATAATTGCAGCTACATCAAATTTCAATTTTGTAATTCTGCTATTTTGAACCTGACTCAGAAGATTCAAAATGGCAAGAAAAACTGTTTCTGAATTAAATATTGAGCCAAACGCGTCTTCATGAAGGTCTTTTTGATTGAAAATAACTCATATTTGTTGTTGAAGTAAAGGAAAATTATTGATACTTCACAAAATTAATTTATTATCCATCAATGGCATTTAAATCTTATTTAATTTTAAATAGGGAGCTGAAGAGGTAGAAAGATAGAAAGCCTTTTTAGGTCGCTCAGTAGGGTTCTATCGGAGTCATTGAATGGTTTTGGAAGTTAGCATGAGGCAAAAAAAAGCAACAAAGAAACAATAAGCTCCAAATGTCAGAACAGAGCCGTGGTAGCTCAGAGGATTTAACACTCGCGCCTCTCAATTAGGTAACCCGGGTTCGAATCCCAGGAATGACGAATCGATACGAATTTCGAACCCGGCTCGAACAGTGCTGACGTAAAATATCCTGAATTGTAGGCGAATCACGAGTTACGAGTCCTTTTTCTATCATGCTAACCGAGAGATGATTTCATGGTTTTCCTTTCCATGTAACGCAAATGGAAGTTAGTTCCATCAAAAAGTCCTCCACGATCCAAGAATTCCTACTGAGTTGAATATTGGTAAACTCGAAATTGGATCGGTTATTTAACGACCATTTTAAAAGGAAATAAAATGCGCAGAGCAGAAAAAATCAAACGCAATGACAGAATAGCTTTTGATCTACTGATCGGATCCTCTCGTACTAATGACCTTAATGAGTCGAGAAGCTAACATAAAATGTGCTGATAAATTAATGATATTTAATTCCTATTGATATTTAATTAGTAATTAATTCTTAATAACACTGGGGATCGGTTTTCTGTGGCACTAATAGTTATGCGTTGCGGATTTCAAATCTAAAATCAATTTTATTCTAAAAGCTACAATTTGTATGCAATTTATTAATTCAGAATACTCTATACTATAGTCAAACATTAAGTGTAGTAATTGAAACACTCGAATACTAAGTGGTTACCACTTCTCTGCCACGAAGGGAATGGTAGGAAGAGGACGATAACACGTTCAGTTTATAATGCGAAACGCTAAGGTGATTTTTCTCTTGTCCTAAATTATATTTTCAAAGGATTAGATAATTGTGTATAACCTATACGTTCTTTATAAACTTGTATATTCAAACAAAAAATATACTAATTTAAAAGTATAATTTTGTAAATAATATGAAGCTTTCCAAACAAAAATGATTCCTTATTTAAAATGCACATGCCCTTATTTGGTAAGATCAAGAAGTTGTATAAATACAATAAAAAAAATTCCAGTATAATTCATTATTATTTAATTCCTGTAAAGAAAATTTTAATTCAATAGTTATAAAAATGGAAAAAGTACATGTTTCGAGTATTCGATGATTGCTCTCATTCTTAAAAGACCTCAAAAAAACAAATTCGATAATGCTTCCTCCCTCAGAAATGAAGCAGAATTTTTTCTATATTTTTCAAAACTTAAAAACGTTCGATAAAAAAAAATTGTGTGGTTTAAGAGATAAAAACAAACTCAATTTTAGTGATGTTTATATTATTGCCAAAAATAAGTGGGGCAATTTTGATCCCACAACCCTGAATTTTTAAATGAATGAAAAATCTAAAGTTTAAAGTTATTCGATCCCTTAGGTCTTGAGAATGAAAATTTAAATTACGACTTCATGAAATTTTATAACTCAGAAACTGCTTGAAAAAAATTGTTCAAATTTTACATTTAAAATAACAAAGATACATAAAATGAAATAAAAAAATTTCGAATATTATTCAATGAAATAATGAAATATAATAAAAAAAATTATAACACGTCTTTAGATAATCAAATTTTATAATTGTGTGCAAAAAGTTTTGATTTACTTAAAAAGTTTCCGAGATAATAAGCTAAAAATAAAATTTACAATAAGGGGTCTTTATACTATCTATCGCTCTCCTACCAAACTAGTGGGACCGTATTGTTCATATTAGAGAAATTCGATGACCGTTTACCGTGACCAAATAATTTTTAAACAAAAACTCTTTGTAAATGGAGCGTCTCAAGTTTACGTGATTTTTACACTTTTACCCTCTCCGTTACCATAGTTTTAGCAAATCTTGCTCTTTTCCCCAGGCAATACGGTTCAGTAAGAAGTTGAAATGTGCTTTGTGTGACTTTCCGAAACTATGGTAACAAAGAGAGGGAGAGTATGGAGAGTGAGGAAATCGTGTAACCTTGAGACTTCTAATTACAAAGAATATATACAGCCTAGGTCAATGATATGTATTAACTTACTAGTGGTAGCTCATCTTCTGGTTCAGGTTTTTTTCTTGCGTCGATGATCCCAGCTCCGTCTGTTACTATATGACCCTCCCGGCACTGGTAGTAAGGTACACATACGCAGTTGTTGCCAGGAAGAGGTTTATACTCTCCAACGGAAACTCCAGGATCACCATTGTAATCATCATCTTTAGGATCATGGTAGCCGCCTAAATCTTTGTTTGGATAATCAGGCACATCAGGGGGGTTCACTGGTTTTTCATGAATTCTTGCTGGATCTGGTCTTGGTCGGCTACCTGGTCTCGGTCTGTGATCAGGAACAGGTCTGTAGGAATCTTCTTCTCCCGAAACATCAGGTTTTGGATGATATTTATCATCCACAGGTCTGGGAACATAGCGATCAGGTCTTGGATTATATCCACTCGATCCTATTCCACTTGGTTTCGGCTTGTAGGGATCCGAATTTGGGTTCACTAATGGTTTTGGAGGATATTCATCATCCACAGGTCTTGGGACATAGCGATCAGGTCTTGGATTATATCCACTCGAACCAATCCCACTTGGTTTCGGCTTGTAGGGATCCGAATTTGGGTCCACTATTGGTTTCGGAGGATATTCATCATCCGCAGGTCTTGGGACATAGCGATCAGGTCTTGGATTATATCCACTCGAACCTACTCCACTTTGTTTAGGCTTGTGTTGATCTAAGTTTGGATCTGCAATTGGTTTTGGATTGTACCTGTCGCTACCTCTAACAGGCTTAGGATTGTGACTTAGTTCAATGCTGGATGCATCGTCTTTGGTATGTAAGGGTGGATAAGCGTCCTCCACAGGCTTTGGGATGTAAGGTATTTTGTCTATAGGTGGGTTAAGATTATAAACCCTTTCGGGTTTGTAATCAGAATCATCGAACTTAACGCTCCCTGATCTTATGTCACTGTCTTTTTTAAAATCTTTATTCGCATTGGGTCGGCCATCCACTCCGACGCTGCGATAACCATCAGCAGCATCATGTCTGTAGTTTTTATCGTCTGATTCAAGAGGAAAACCGCCCGCTGAGGAACAACCATTTTGTGGTTCACATTTTGGACGATTGGGTCTTAGGTATCTGCCTTCAACGCTTTGGCTAGATATGGGTAGAATGAATTGACCGAAAAAGAAAACGATGTGAAGTGCAGCAAAAAACATCGTCGAACAACACCTGAAAATCTAAAAGGAAATGATTTATACTATTTATACATTCTCATCGTTCCTTGAATCGAATGAAATTGGAAATGGATACTAATTGCTATGATACATATTATAGAGTGTACCTATAATAGGCATTTTGAGATCGATAAAAGCTGTTTTTTTTATAACCGTCGTTGAACATCCGACCCAATTTTGAGTTTACTACTACTAATGTTCAACTTCGTGGCCTTGTAATTTTAAACCCAGTCCAGAAACTAAGGGAACTCCTGGATCAAGTACTGGTAGAAATTTGCCTTCGTGGAGGATTTTTTCACAAAACTAAACCGCAGGTGCGCGACCTGGATAGGAAAAGCACGAAAAACTCCCACGGTTAGTCTGTTGGCAAAGGGACTCTAACCCATAATACGTCTACCACTGAGGATTTTTTATGTCAGCACTGTGGTCAGCGCGGGCCGGGTGCGGAAATCGTATCGACCAGCCATTGTTGCCATTAGAGCCCGGTACACCTCATTGAAAAGCAAACGCTCTATCCCCTGAGTCACCACGGCTAGAACGATGGCCGAAATAAGTAACGCCTATACACAATTAAGGTATCAGATAACAGCTCAGTAAAGAAAAAAATTTTTTTTTTTTTTTTTTTTTTTTTTTTTTTAAGAAAATTTGTTTTTTCCATCTCTGTATAAAGCATTCATTAAATTGTGTAAGCAAGATTGAGAAAAAAAGTTTTTTTTTAAACGAATGAAAATTTTATAAAATGATAATACGGACATTATTTAGTTTTTTTTTTTAATAAAAAAAAAGGAAATCTTACAGGATGATTGGGCTAACAGCGTTCATAAAGTAATTCTTATTAAATAAAGAATGAAACGATTAAATAATAAGATTAATTGATGCGTTTTGAAAAAAATACTTTCAAATCATTACAAAAATTCACAAGAAATGTCTTATTATTATCCTTCTCCTATTCGGACAAAATTATTTTCTTTGCAAACTCTGTATTGAAATAAATCATACAATCAAATTAAGGTAACAGTAATATACAGTTGCCTACTAATTATTAATTCCTACCATTGTTTATTTTATTACTTACATATTGTTGTTTGATTATTTCATACTGATACAGATTTTATAAAATTTTTATGATCATTTAAAACCATTTAGAAAATTTGCTTTCGACGTTTTTCGTGTTTTCCTAACAAAAGAACATTATTTTTTCCCATTCAGTCAACTTGAAAAACCTGCTTGTAATTTTTTTACTGCTTTTTTTTTACTACATTATATTTCTACTGTGCTTTTCTTAACTTTTTTCTCGTGTTTGCAAGGACGGAGTTTTGAAATAAGAAAATCTACCACTTTCTGAGTGACTGGAGCACTCAAATATATTAAAGCTCCATTCTTAATAACAAGGAAAGTTTCAATTATTTCTTGACCGCCACAAATATAACTTTATATGCTTGAAATTTAGTGCTGTGCAACATTGGGAACACTTTCCAACTGGCTAAAGTGTTTAAATATCAACTGGGCAGAGGCCAGAACAATTTTTTTCCTACTCAGACTACTTTATTTTTGTGCTGCAAATCGTGATTATATTGATAGCTTTGTCTTATAGGCTTCTCAATTGGCAGCACCTTCTGTTCGCAAAACAAAAATGTAACCATCGTTGAACAGCCGACCTAATTCTGAGTTTACGATTACCAAGGTTACGACACTGTGGCCTTTTAATTTTAAACCCAATCCAGAAGACGAGGAAGCTCCTGGAGCAAGTATTGGGAGAAATTTCCCTTCGTGAAGGACTTTTTGGAGGAACTAAACCCCATTTGCGTTACATGGTAAGGAAACCAAGTAAGCCTCCCACGGTTAGCTTGACGCCAAGGGGACTCTAACCTATGATTACTTAGGATATTTTACGTCAGCACTGTGGTCAGTGCGAGGTGGGTTCGGAATTCGTTTCGACCAGCCATCACTGGGATTCGAACTCGGTTCACCTCATGGACAATCTATCCCCTGAGCCACCACGGTTCTAATTGAAATTTCATTTAAAAAACATGTCATTATAATATCTTGTCGCTATGGCAACCACTCTTATGAATTAATTGTTTGAAATATCGAATGAATTAATGAATGAAATGTTAAACTCAAAAATCAACTTCTTAATAAATGGATGTAACTGGCTGATCAGTTAAATTTAAGTAAATAAGTTTGGAGATTAGGTCCTAATTTCGAATCGTTTTATTTAATAACGTTTTTAATCCAACAAATTAAGATTCAATTCTTGTCCTAATAGTTTTTAAGTTAAAAGATAGGAAGTTTAATTCCAAACTAGTTCTTTCATAAATGCATTATATGACTAATAGAAAAAATTTTTCTTCTAAGCATTGACGTAGATTTGACATGATAAAACGTACTTTTCCTACATGTTTTCAAATGTTCAATTTAAAAATGCAACCATATTTATTTTTTAAGTTCGACTCTAAAGCAATTTTTCACGAAAAGAAATGTTTTAGTTTATCTTTAATAAATTGCAGACAACAGACAAATCATTTCTCTCTTTTAGAAACGTATTGTATGAGCAAAGAAATTTATTTTCTTCAAAAAATTGGCATAAATTTGAGATGATTTACCCTATTTCTTATACATATTTTCAATTTCCCATTAATCATTATTTGAAAATGCAACCATTTTTATCTTTGGATTCTGTAAGACATGTTTCAGAGGGAAAACGCATTAGCTAATTAAATTCTTCTATAAATAGTTTATTTTACAAGTTCAGCAAGTATATCATCAAAACAGAAAAGAATTTTAAAACCGTAAAATTTTGAGGAGCAATTCAAAATATCATCAAATAATATCTAATGTTTGATATTATTGATATTTTGAATTGCGTCTCTAAACTTTACGGTTGTTTCGAATGATCCGAAACATATTTTTTCGGTTATCTTTTTTTTCTTAAATTTTCACTTGATTTCAGAAGACTTTTGAAGTTTATTTCAAAATTTATAGTAAACTATTGCAATTCATACTAAAATATATCAATGAATAAATTACAACTCACAAATTGATTCCTAGATAGTTAAGAACAAAGCGGTATATAACATAGGGTGACTAAAAGGACTCGTATCATTTATTCAAGTCAACTAAAACTTAATTTAAATAACTCTTATACCTTCTTTAAGGCTACAGTGGACTTTTAAATAAAAGTTTTTCTTAAAAAATGCTACATTTCTGTAACTTGTAGGGATTGTTTATATTTAAAGAGGGAACACACAAAAAAACAATAATTTGATACATAAATCATACTATAACATGCAAAATTTAAATTTTTTCAAAAAAAATTCTCGATTTATTTTCAAGTTTAAATCAGCTCCTAACGCTAATTATTTCCTTAAATTTAAAGATTATTTGTTACTTTCAACTCTATTTACATTTCGCTTCAAATTGTAGGAAAAAAACTTGCACGTTTGTCTACTAATTTCCATACAGAGTAAAAAAAGCAAGTTTCGGCACAAACAAAAAATCGTTCCTCTATGAACGCTTTGGAACATTGAAATGACGATAAAATATGTTGTGGCAACTTATTTTGACATTTTTCTGGACAAGTTTTTTTTTTTTATATTGATCTAGAGAGAGTGTGTCAAAAAAGTTTCATGGAATAGTCATCAAAATTATAGCGCATGGAACTATTTCAATTTCCAGTTCGATGCAAAATTTTAGTTTTGAGAAACACTTCACAAAACACTCACAATAACAAGCTTTCGTAATAAAAAAGCAAAATAACACTAATATTGTCAAATGTTGTACAAATTCTTATGACTTTAATAATTATTATGCTTTTCTATATCATTTAATTAATATAAAATGGTCATAATTAGAAAATCGATCTTACGAGAGATTTTCTCGATTTTGGGAGTCCACTGTAGTCTTAAACGTTTAGTAATCTTTAAATGTTTAACGGTAACCACTCGAATGCCCAAAACTGACAAAATTAAGTAGCAAATGTTTATTTATAAAGCTTTATGCCCTTTCTTATCAAATGAATTAAGAAATATAATTCTTAATTTGTTTAAACTTATTTAGAATGCACTGCAGATAAGAATAAGAAAGTACTTACGTATGTGATTTCGAATTATGTGTCGTGTGTGTTCTGTGTTCGTGTTTGATGAAAAATGAACGAGAGGTAAGCAGAGGGGGGTTGGAAATGTTCTTTCAAGGTTAACGAGTGAAAGCAAAGAACAAAACAGGTTGTTTGCAATCTAATGATGGAAGAATAATATACCCCATCTTGATAGCCGATAAAGAAGGGAAAACCATTGAGAAAACTCCTTTAATCTTCATTTACTAGTTAAACACTTTATTGTTTCTGGGAATTCCAGATAAAAGTTAATACCAACTTTGAACTTTGCGTTTCCTGCTATGTGCAATAACTCTTCGTTTCTATTGGGCCCAAAATGTCAATCGTTTTCGTCCAATCGAAATTTTTCAGTATTTTGAAAATTAACGCTATACATTTTGAAAGCATAAAAAAAATACTTGTCTAAGTTTAAGGAAGCTTTATTAACTAGTTAAACAGTATTTTTTCACCGGATGTTTCCTAATTGAGTGAGAGAAAAAAAACTATGGTTTTCAACAAGTAACTCTTTGTTTCAAACGATCACAAAATGTCGGTCATCTCAGAAGAGTTTCAACATCTCTATTTATCCAAAAAACGCGAGCGAGTCTACTGTTTTGAGTGATAACCTTTATGTCACACTTTATGTTGCAGTGTAAAATTTTTAACTCTTAAAGTTTTAAAATTACAATGGTGCATAAAGAGCCGCGATGGCTCAGGGGACAGAGCGTTCGTTTGCCAATGCGGTGAAACGGGGTCGAATCTCGGTGATGGCTGGTCGATACGAATTCCGCATTCAGCTTGCACCGACCACAGTGATGGCATAAAATATCCTGAGTGGTAGACGGATCATACGTTAGAGTCCTCCTGCCGTCAGGCTAGCCATGGGAGGTCTTCGTGGTTTGCCTCTCCATGCAACGCAAATAAGGGTTAGTTCCATCAAAAAGTGTTCCACGAATAGGCAATTTTTTCCCAGTACTTGGTCCAGGAGTTCCCTTGTCTTCTGGATCGGTTTTAAAATGACATGGCTACGGAGTTGAACATTAGTAGTTGTAAACCCAAAAAATTGGTTCTGTTGTACAGCGACGATTATAAAATATACATTTGTGTGTCATATTTTGAAGTTAATTAGTCTTAGAGTTTTTTCACAGCAAAACAAAATGCGGAATTTAACATCCCAAATATGATTTTTTAATTAACTGTTGTTTTGTTTTTGCAGGAAAAGAAAAAAAAACCGACGTTTAAAACTTTCAAATAATATTGTATAATCATTATAAACTTTAATTGTCTCTTTCAACACTGGCTTTTTACGGTCTAGTGTGCGCGCCACTTGTCCAAAGTGAGTTGCTTATTGAATCATATGACCAATTGAATCATATGACTGTGGGAGATTCTCGTAGTTTTCTTCTCCGTGTAACACAAATGCGGTTTAGTTCCATCTAAAAATGCTCCACGAAGGCGTATTTCTGCCAATACTTGATCCAGGCGTTCCCTTGTCTTCTGGATTGGGTTCAAAATGACAGGGCTACGTAGTTCAACATTAGCAGATGTAAACCCAAAATTTGGGTCGGCTGTTCTACGGCGGTCATAAAATTATAAACTATGCTGTTGTTAATTTACGTCGCACTAGAGCTGCACAATGGGCTATTGGCGACGATCAGGGAAACATCCCCGAGGATGATCCGAAGACATGCCATCGCAATTTTGAACCTCTGCGGAGGGGATGGCACTCCCGCTTCGGTAGCCCGACGACCTGCATGCGAAGTCGAGCACTTTACGGTAGAACAGTTTAAAGAGGACCCATACCACACACTCTCGGTCCCTACGCAGACTGATCCAAGTGGTCACCCACCCGCACACTGACCGCAGCCAGTGATGCTTGACTTCGGTGATCTGCTGTGAACCGTGTCTTAACGATCAGTCCACTGCTGGACGAGCCGGGTTCGAATCCTAGCGATGGCTGGTCGATACGAATTCCGCATCCGGCATGTACCGACCACAGTGCTGACGCGAAATATCTTCAGTGGTAGACGGATCACGGGCTAGAGTCCCCTTGCCCTACCTTTTTCTCGAATGAGCAATAAACGGAATCAGATTATAGAAGGAAACGCAACATGGAAAAAAAATTGTCTAGTCTGGAGAACAGGCAAAAGTGGGGGTTTTTTAATATTAATTTCATTTTTGCGTATGTTCCCATATCTTGAAGTGAATCGATCGTTTTTTACATTCCATTATTAAGTTCCTGCGAAGATAAATAATTATTAATAATTATTTGTTGCATTTTATTATTTTATTCAATAGTCGAATTTAGAATTGTAAGGTATATAATTTTTTACATAATCTTGAAGTAATAACTACAAATTATAATTTGAAAATTCGATTGAAATCGATTGAATAGTTCGCGAGAAATGAAATTTTTAAATATAAGACATTTAGAAGGGGAAAAATCATTACATGCTGGTTTACGTCTTCGACGGTTTGCCTTTTTTAAGTATGCACGAGGGGGATGATTAAGTGGTTGCGCAGTAATAATTTCCATTTTTCTATGTGCGTCAGACAAAGTTTGCAGCAAAAGTTTGTCATCAGCATACCTAGAGTAGCATTTACAATTATTCTGTCATGCAATGTTGTCAAAACAATGTAAGTACTTCACGATTGATTTTGAGAAAAGCTTTTTGACAACTCCTTTCTTTCCAATTTTTTATGTTGCCGTGAATGACCGTGATCAAGAGAATGTCTACTTTCACTTGTGAATGTCACAGAGTCGCTTTGGTGAATATCCAAAATATTTGTTATGTCCTATTTGATATTAATTTACTCGTTGATATTATTATATTTATTCGATATTTTAATATCTGCTGATTAGGTATAACGTTCGGAGTGCCAGTTAAATGCATACTGGGCACTTGAAAAAAACATTGATGAAGGGCATAACGGGCAAATGTATACCGGGCAGTAGCACATAACTAGAACTAGCATATATTTCGGACATTTACTAAAGCGACTATGCAAATGTCAACATTCATTGATGGAAGTCAAATTCGATTATTCACAGTAACATTAAAACTACAAAAGCTAAAATAAAATCTTAGAAAACTGATTTGAAAAAATGTGGAGAAAAAAAATTCCAATATGTAGCTTAACATACGAAGATGCAAAACATAGAACTATCACAATTTGGAATTTTTTGCCGCTTATGTTGATTTTTCTACAATTTTTTTTAACGTTAGTGTTGTCTGACTTTATTTTCTTTTATATTTAGTTTGTAACTGTTTTATCCGGTTCCAGAAGTAATGTTTAATAACTCTAAAAATTTGTTTGCAAAGCAATAACTGCGGGACAATATATATTATTATGTTTATATTTTTTATAACTATGTATAGAATGATAATGTTTGAAAACAATTTGTATTTAGGAGCATGTACAGTTATTTTTATGTCATAGTTTTGTCATGTATTAAGAAAATAAGTTGTTGTCATGAGTTGGCGACCGCTTTGTCGCAAAAACGAACACTATTATGGTCCCAATAGCTCATAAGTTCCTATAAGCGGTTTATATGATATAATATATGTACAAATTGAAAATATCAATAATAAACAGTACATCGGGGTATTTTAACAATTAGATTAAATTATATTACTTTTACATTGATAGAAATTTCGTAATCCAAATATATTTTATCAAAAATTACAATAATATCGTATTCAATTATTGTTATGTATAATATTCGTAAATTTCTCTTTCTGATATATTATGTTACCTATAATGATCACGATATTATTGTATTTGATAATTATCAATAATGGTTGCGATATTTTCGTATTTATTAAGTATTATTATCCTTAATGATCGCGATATTGTTATATTTGGTACAATCATGTAGAAGAAAAGGGTTTTATTGATCGTCTTTTAATCTCTGTCAAGATTTTCTTTATTTTTAAAATTTAACAATATTTTTTTCTTTGTATTTTGCTTTAAAAAATGCATTACATTTTTGTTCATTACAATATATAAAAAATACATTGTACGCTACGGAATAAATTATTAATGGCATTCAATTAGCTGAAGGTTAGGCTATTTGTGCACAAAAGATTTTTCAGAGAAAAATATTTTATTCGTTTGTTAACCGCAGTCAACATTTAATCCAGAGTTTCCGTAGTAACAAAACAAACCCCTTTTGAAATGAGAGGAAATATACCAAGAATTGAGGTCATTCAGTCTTTTTTCTCCATATAACCTACAGATAAAATAATTGATTGTTTAGAAGGAAGCATTAGTATAATTAGCCTTCTATTTGATAAAAGGTATTAAAAGCAAATGCGTCGGATTTGTTCGGAGACTAACAAAATGGATTTTTAATCATCTACTAAATCATTTGTTAGTTGAAGCAGTCGATCATAATGTCTGTTATTTAAAATTCCAAACATTTAGACAAAAATATAAAATCGTTCTAATCGGTGGCAATCGGAAAAAGGAGCTATAAATATTAACGAGAGATATTTTGATGTCATGGAATCTGAGAAAAATTAAATTTGACTGGAGACGTCACTATAACATCAAATCTTGTTTCGAGAAAAATACATTTGATATTATCGAAGAACATTTTGTTAAAAGAATCTTTTTAATATGTAGATTTTCCAAACATCATTTTTTTTTTCATTTATCATTTATCCAAGTATCATTAAATTGCTATATTTTCTAACACACGAAATAAGCTTTCCCATTCTCATTCTTAGTATACTGTTGTTAAAAGTACAATAGTCCCGCAGTGGACTGATCGTTAAGACACGTTTCCCAGCAGATCACCGAAGTCAAGCAACACTGGCTGCGATCAGTGTGCGGGTGGGTGACCACTTTGATTAGTCTGCGTAGGGACCGAGGGTGTGCGGTATGGGTCCTCGTTAATCTGTTCTACCGTTAAATGCTCGACTTCGCGTGCAAGTCGTCGGGCTACCGAATCGGGAGTGCCATCCGCTCCGCTGAAGATCAAAATTGTGATAGCATGTCTTCAAATCATCCTCAGGGATGTTTCCCAGATCGTCGCCAATAGCCATTGTACAGCTCTAGTGAGACGTAAATGAACAACAACAATGAAAGTACAATATTTTATTTATTTGCAATTTGAGTGTGGGTAAGATGTAAGCTAGATTTTAATTCATTTGTTAAATGAGTATATGTAAGCTGTAAGTTAGAGTTTGTATCATCGGTTGATATGATGATATTATAGAGAAAAAAAATTGTGTTAAAATAAAGTGCAATATTTCTTAGTATTTTGTAAAAATGAGAGTCAGATTAATTTATTTTCGTCAAATAGTAGTTTTTAATAGAGAACGACAGAATATTGCACTTTCTGGTAGAGTTTCTTGACAACTGTCGCAGTTGAGATACAAAAGGAGCCTTCAAAATAATAAAAACTTGGCTACATAAAATTATTACCAATTACAAGCCTGCCAACTACTACGCTTTTTGTAAAACATTTTATTAAGTGGTAGGCATTTAAAAATCAAAGTTTTCAGAAATTTTAGTAATTTTGCAAACCTTTTAAAACCCTTACTACGAATGAGCTGGGACAAAGTTGGCGTTGCCTATGAACTTTTAAATCATTTATATGTAGTGGTGTGGAAGTTTAAATGAATAAAAATAATGCATTAAAACATTAACTTAAGCTACCGCTATATATATATACAGAGAATATGAGCACCCATTTGTTCATTTTAACGCATGTATTATACACTTAGAAAAGGACGAAATAACAATTTTAAGCAAAGGAATTTTTTATTTACTCTACAACCAAATTTTAAAATATAGACAATGTCCGGGGTTCGTACTCCGGAACCTCGATTGCAATTTGTATCTCCCTATTACTTTTCCAGCCAGTCACACTTGGCTGTTCAACTTATAAAAATCTTTTTTAATTTAAAGTACACTTGTAAATGAAACACTTTAATACTAATTCAATCAGAACCTTTTTCAATCTGATCTTAAAAATCTTCTATAGTTCCTCATTAGCCACGAGATCTGTTCGACAGTTCTCAGTGTTTAGATCTTCTGGTGTAAAGATGGATGGACATCGCCCTCAGCCTCGTTGTCTTGAATAAAAACTGCTTACGGTTGCAGGTCTTCAGTTCACTGGACAAAAGTTTTCATAGAAGACTTATAAACAAACCATTCTACTACAACGTTATTCATAGTTAGTCAGAACATTTTGTATGAGATCTAGCAATCGTCTGTAATCCCTAATGACTAGGTAGTCTCTAGTCTGCCTCGCCGACGGACTGTCCTCAGTGTTTAGATCTACCGGTAAAGACGGGTAAATGTCGTCCACCGCTTCATTACCATTCATTAAGATTGCCAACTGTTGGAGGTATTCAGTTAACTGAGAGATTTGATACTTGGCATAAATACAGGATTTCCTGTAATAATCGGGAGATTCTTCTAATAATATTTGATCCATGGCAACGGAAAACCTCTTCAGGTGATCGGTCAGCGTTTTCAGGTCAGAGGCCTCCTGAAAAGATAAAAGACAGTCACAATCCAAATATAAATCTGGACAATAAGAGATCCAGAGAGCAAAAGAAGGTTTTTTTTCGTTCAGCAAAAACATTTTAATGTAAGCCTAAAAAGGTTTTTATGTGGTTTGCGTGTAAACCTTCTAATCTTAAAACGAGATCTGTGACAATCTGCTCTATTCTACCCACATTAACCTAATCCGAAACCTTGGAAAACAACCTTCCATACAAAAACCTTAAATCGAGGTTGTCTTAGGATTTTCAAGCGTGAAAAAACCCTTGAATAAAGCTAGTCTCAAGGTAAAAATAATCTTAAATGTAGGTAGTTATAAGGATTCTTTCCGCAACGTCTTGTATGCTCAGTTAAAATCCACCTTGTCATGAAGTTTTAATGGACGATGCAATTTGATACTATCGCTAACGTGACGTCAGCTTACGCGAAATGGCCATTTTACTTAAGTGACAATACTTTAAAAAAAAAAAAAGCTTTAAATATAATTTTCAGCTATTTTAGGATGAAAGGTATTAAACTGCAATATTTTTGCTTTATTGGAAAAAGGTTTTTAGTGCAAACATTTTCGCGACAATAAAAATTGTGACACACAGTTGCCGTAAAGTTACATGCTTTCTGGGAAAGATTTTGTAGCACTCATTTCGTTCATTTACGTAGATTCTGGACAAGTTCTGAAGATAATGGGTAGGACAGATTATAAAATAGTGTCTTCACAAACTATGTGATATCTAAAATATATCGCACAATGCATGGATTTTACATGTTATAATACGAGGAAATTTAACCATTAGATCAAAAGTCGTAATATTCTCTCAGAAACAAGATAAGCAGGGTAACATCACAGCTGCATAATATATGGTAATAAAATTGATATCAATATGTAATAAAGTGGCTATTCAAGATTATGCAGCTTTCAACTGCACCTGGTGGAAAACAAAGTTAAATGGAAGGTTTCAAATTTAAAAATTCATGCAGTCAAATTTAAAAACTGTATGAGTTCGTATTGACTCGCGTGACGTGACAAAACATTTTTAAAAAAGAAAAGAAACAACTAGTTTTTACAATATGGTTTTATTTTCGATGTTTAAACTTCGCTTGATAAGAAACGTATTTTGTGATCGACATTTGTTCCTGTCTAGATTTTTCCATAACGTCACAGTGTAAGAAAACGTGATAAAACAAGCCCGTTTTAAGCTTTATTTTAAGGTTTAAGTTCATTTCCCATTCGTATTAAATCAATTCTGCTCATCAACTTTAATTAATTAATTTGTATATTTCGAACGCTATTTCCTCAGTTTTCCGCAGTGGTACAGTAAACTGTTTGATCTTGTCACCCATAGCTACTTTATTATACCCAGACACCTATTTTACAATTATCGGTGTAGCTGTTCAAAACATAAGAGAATGGATACCAACTTAATCATAAACAGTATATGATTTATTGATGTACTAAACAAATATTGAAAGACTTGAAAACTACAAAATTTTAAGATTTTGCTTTAATTTGTTTAAGTATGCATTTATTATCGTCACTTTAAGATTTTATTTATACTTCCGGTTAGTTGTCTTGTATTTTTAAAATGTACTCATACTTATATTAGTACAAAAAATGAATATAAAAACTCCAAATTATTTATTCTCCAAATTATTTATTATTTATTAACTTCACATAATTATCTTACGGAAAAATTTGAACTATTTAGTTTTTAATTAATTCATTGTTGTGCCCTTCAGTTTTTAAAGCAATGCTTGAAACGACATACTTAAGAGAATTTTTATTTACAATTAATGATGCTAACTATTTCTTTTTAATTAACGTTCTTGTAGTTCAATAAAGCAACGCTTATATATATACAATGCATAGATGTTACTGTAAATGACCAAAATGGGAGATAGTGGACTTCCACCGGCGAATGTTGAAGTCACTTTGGTAAATGTCCGAAATACTAGGTCTAGTTAAGGTATACATTTTCCCGGTATGACCTACATCGATGGTTTGTTAAGGTCAAGAGCTACTGCCCAGTATACATTTAACCTGAACTCCGAACGCTGATATTTTTCCTAATTTATCTTCAGCAGATATTAAAATATCGAATAAATATAATAAAGTCAAGGAATAAATTAATATCAAATCGGATAAGACAAATATTTCGGACAATACAAACGTATAATACAAAATGCAAATTATAGTCGCGTTATCAAGGGGAAATGGAAAAAAAATAAATATTAGTCTTTGTAGGGTAGTTTTTAAAACACGGAACCCCTTGATAGCGATATTTTCCAAACACCATTGAAATGAAACGCCATTATTTCACCCTTTTTATCTACGTCAACTCAGCACCCATTGTATATAAAATAGCCCAAAACACACGTCTGCAGTCCCACAATCGAACAGCAAAACTTGGCATTCACAGCAGATTATTATTATTATTTTGCTTCCGGCCGATTAAAAACGTGATAAAAGTAAAACGTACTGACGCATTCTGCTACACCCGAGTTATCTCGGGATAATATATGTTTGCAATCTATACATACCCGAGTTAACTCGGGATGATAAATATTTGTAATAAATACATACCCGAGTTAATTAGGGATAATAAATATTTGCAATCTATACATACCCGAGTTAATTAGGGATNGCCTGCTTATTCGCCGGATATGTCGCCTATTGAGCACGTGTGGGATATGGTTGGTCGGCGTCTCACTCGTGATCCGCGTCCTGCAGTTTCCAAAGACGAACTTTGGTTGCGCATACAAGCGATATGGAATTCTCTTCCTCAAGCAGATATTCAACATCTGTTTGACTCCATGCCACGTCGTATAGCAGCACTTATTGCAGCGCGTGGTGGCTGCACCAAATACTGATTTCGGACGCTTAATTTGTTTCTTTTGTTTTGAAAATTTCATCATTTATTTGTATCAGTACAAGTCGTTTCTGCATTAAATTTCATTTGATTCTGATGATTCTTTCATGGTGTTGCATTTTCTACAAACAGCAGTTTATATACAATGTATAAATGTTACTGTAAATGACCGAAATAGGAGATAGTGGACTTCCACCGGCCAATGTTGAAGTCACTTTGGTAAATGTCCGAAATACTGGGTCTAGTTAAGGTATACATTTTCCCGGTATGACCTACATCAATGGTTTTTTAAGGTCAAGAGCTACTGCCCCGTATACATTTAACCTGAACTCCGAACGCTGATATTTTTTCCTAATTTATCTTCAGCAGATATTAAAATATCGAATAAATATAATAAAGTCAAGGAATAAATTAATATCAATGACAAATATTTCGGACAATACAAACGTATAATGCAAATTATAGTCGCGTTATCAAGGAAAAGGAAAAAATTTAAGTCTTTGTAGGGTAGTTTTTAAAACACGGAACCCTTTGATAGTGATACCAGTGAAGTGATACGCCATTATTTCACCCTTTTCATCTACGAGGGTTGTAAGTTAAATAGCGGCAACTTAACCTTGGAACTCACAGAAGGGTGGGCATGCGCAAGTAGGATATGGGAGCGGTGAGGTGGCGCTGTTGTCGATGTGTAGAGTGCAAAATACAGTCGATCTGCTTAGAGAGGGTAGTTGTTGCGTGGCGTTAAAGTGAGGAGTTTCGTTTCCATCGCTCGAAAGCATGTTTTCAAAAGGCTTAGTGACGAAAAAAGACGAGATGCTTGAACCCATCGCGCTACTGTCCAATACTGTAAAGCATTTGCGTCGCAAGCTTCCACTAATCCTCGATAGCATTCTGTTGCATTTTTGCCACGGACAACCTCGATTTTAAGCGACGACCGCTGATCACCTTTTGAAAACATGCTTTAGAGTGATGGAAACGAAACTCCTCACTTTAACGCCACGCAACAACTACCCTTTCTAAGCAGATCGACTGTATTTTGCACTCTACACATCGACAACAGCGCCACCTCACCGCTCCCATATCCTACTTGCGCATGCCCACCCTTCTGTGAGTTCCAAGGTTAAGTTGCCACTATTTAACTTACAACCCTCGTATGTCAATTCAGCATCCATTGTATATAAAATAGCACAAAACACGTCTGCAGTCCCACAATCTTACAGCGACACTCGCAAACAAAACCTGGCATTCACAGCAGATTATTATTATTACATATTTTGCTTCCGGCCAATTAAAAACGCGATAAAAGTAAAACGTACTGACGCATTCTGCTACACCCGAGTTAACTCGGGATAATAAATATTTGCAATCTATACATACCCGAGTTAACTCGGGATAATCAGGGAAGCGATTAAACTTACCTCCGGAACTTCCAGAAACCAGTGATCTTGAGAATCATAAGATTCTGGCTCAAAATAGCTGTAAACTTCCTTAAACTGAAAAAAAAAATTTTTTTTTAAGGAAATCAGAATTTTTTTAATTGTCACAGTTTTATTAAATTAATGACATAAAAATAGTTAATCAACTTTCTTAACAGTAAAAATTAAACTTAAGTTCCTTAATCTTCTCCAACTCTTATCAAGAGTGTAAGAAGCAGCGCCAGGAAATCATAAAAGAACTTTCCCGCAAGATATCTTTTCAATGGGTACTGCGTCATTTATGGAAATGAGATGGCAGATATAGTTGCCAAAAGAGGAGCTGCGATTCTCCAAAAGCCCAAAACTAAAGCAAGCCTCCATTCCATTAAACTGCTGACGTCACTCGTATATCAAAAGACTTTTAGAAATTTTGCGACTCGGGCAGGCGATGGCAAACCCTGGAGTGTTCTTTTAACAAACTCAGCTTTTATTCCTGACCACCAGCGCGATCCGTTGCGGTTGCATCTTTTTAGACCATTAACGGGGCATGACTGTCTATAGAATCACTTATTTCACATTGGACTACTAGCCGATTCACCTTTGTGTGTTATATGTGATAATGGACGGCCAATGACAGCAGAACATTTGGACGAGTATGAAGCACTGACAGATTTTCCTTGTATATTTCAACGCTATTGGCAAGCAAGAAGTTTAATGGCCTAACGGCTAATGTAACTGGCATTTGACAAATAAAATAACTTTTTTTAATATTTGGCTGATAATTTGGCCAGGGTCTGCACGACGAAGTTTGATAAGTTGTTGTTACAAAGGAAGTGTCAGAATAAAATGTGTGTGTGTGACATCATTTATGAACATTACTGTACTTACTTTCTGCAAAAGATCAAGTTGTTGATTTTTAGCTACTTCCACACTTTTTAAAGCAGATTCAAGTGTCGCTTTCTTTGCATCCTCAATATCTATTTTATTTGAATGACCATTGCAGCTTCCCATTCTATTCTTCTTTTCTTAGGAACACATTACATAACACTCCCTGCTAAAACAACAATTATGCTTCAACAATCGTTTTTTAAAAATGGTGAATTATACTTATTATTCTAGATAGCTTAGAATGTTTGTCCTCGGTTTACATTATTTATTCCTTTATAAGAAGTATACTTTCCACCCGCTACATTCATTTTCATGTGTCTCGAAGGGAAACTATTTTCCCTCCCATAATTTGTTCGGCCATAACATTGAAAAATGAAGAACATTATATACCCGTGAAGGTTCGAGAAGGGTCAAGAAAAAAAGAGAAAAATTCTTGAAGAGCTACGGATGATTTTATTTCATAAATTTATAACCGTCGTTGAACAGCCGACTGAATTATCAGTTTACGGCTACCAATGTTCAACTCCGTAGCCTTGTCATTTTGAACCCAATCCAGAAGACAAGGGAACTCCTCAATCAGAGACATTTTGCCTTCGTGGAGGACTTTTTGATGGAACTAACCCGCATTTGCTTTACATGGAGAGGATAACCACGAGATCCTCCCACGGTTAGCCTGACCGCAAGCCCATGATCCGTTTACCACGGCGGATATTTTACGTCAATACTCTGGTCGGTGCGAAGCGGGTGCGGAATTCGAATAAACCAGCCTTTGCCGAACCCGGTTCACGTCATTCGGAGGCGAGCACTCTTTCTCCTGAGCCACCACGGCTCAGTTATGGATGATTGATCGCGTAAAACTAAACGCAGATGGCTCTAGGGGTTAAAATTCGTCGTAAGACTTTCGGGTTCCGACTGAGTTTTGCACCTAAAAACTTGGAAAATTGCATCATCTAATATTATTTTACTTTTGTAGCGTTTTTAATATAACGCTTTCTTTCAATTTAACTTTCAACGAAACAAACAACAAATAAATTCTTAGGACTCCGCAAGCTTGCTACGATGCTACCCGAAATATAACAAACGGTGCAATTTTGCACAAAGTGTGGAGATGGTAGCTATCGACAATGTCATCTATGAAAAGGTACCCCAGTATAGAATCGAGTTAACATGTCTTATATACCGATTAATCGGAATTGTATTTTTGTCTACAGTACTCCACCGCCAGAATTTTATCGGTGACAGAATTCGATGAACGGATACCACTAGTTGATTCTTTGCTGTTTTTGTGACAAGCCGGGTGAACTGTATTAAGATCACTGTACTTAGGATCGTGAGAGCTGTATTAAATTCACGGTCGCGGTTGCTCCTGTGTTGCCATTTGCAGTCGAGTGCATGCAGGTCGACGTTGTGCATGATCGAGACTGAGTAGCAACAGCACGAGGAGGTGGATGATGTCGCAGTCACAAGCAGCAAGTCATCTGTTCAATCATCCATTGAAGTAGGCATTATAGTTAAGATAGGCGTTTTCATTTCGAAATGGGAGTATCTGCCAAGGTAGGCGTGCTCACATCACGTCCGGATCACCAATGCGGAGATGGTAGCTATCGACAATGTCAACTTTAATCTATGAAAGGGTACCACAACATGAATCTAGTTAGCATGTCTATACTAAAGGATTGGAATTGTATTTTTGTAGTGGTAGGCTCACTGCAAGGGATAACATTTAAAACCAGGCTAACCATGTATTTTTTTATGCTGTGATATTAATTTTGTTACATTTATTTCAGGCTCACGGCCTTTTAAAATTCATAAATTACAAAAAATTCTTATGAATGGTAAAATAACGCGTAAATTTAAACACGAATCACAATAATAAAACTTCCTAGAATATTAAGCATGTTCACGCATCACCTCGTAAGCACAACCTAAGCGGAGAGATACACCGAAAGTTTTCTTCATTTCTTCCGATTACAGGAAGCTTGTTATTGTTGATATTCAGTCAATCATCCATTTTTCTTTTGTGCGTCATGTATTTCTTCATTTTTATAATTTTCCATCCAGTTTATTTGTAGTTATAATCAAAAATTTTATAAATTCGTTATTTAAGAGCGCAGAAATTTACGTTAATGGGAAATGATCAGCAATGGATGAAATTCAACTACCTTTTCACAAAAATAAAATGGTCTTAAAAATCAAATTAATTTTAGGTGATCAACTAAATGAGTTTCTTTTTATAAATCTCAATCGTAAAGATGTTTTAATATAACATTACTACAAGCAATAAAAATGGAAAGGGTTAAATTACCTTTTTCTTTCTTCCAAGAGTTTAAACACTGTGTCAAACTTCCTTGCTTGAAGGTGAATCGAACCAGGGAGCTCTGGCCTCACGAGAATTAAAATAATTTTTTTAATTTAATATTATAATCATATAATCTTATAATCATTATCATAAATATATACAGTCCCTGGAGAAATTATTAGTCCTACTATATGATTCCATGTAAAATCCTAATTATCAGGTGGTACAATACAGCTTTATTATTTTCACGTGACTGAAACCGGTTTGCACTTCCTTATGCTCGTTTATAAATAAGTTAAATGAGGCGATATATCATATAGATATAGAATATCTATTTGATGAGGTATTATATTAGTATATTACAATAATTAGACCAAATGATTAGAAGCACTGTAGTGTTTTAATAATGACATTTTTCACGAGTTTATAGGCAATACTTTTATATTTAAACATATAGGCAATGGGTCTAATTATTTGGCCAGGGACAGTAATCTTATATTCATGATTCTGATCTTATAATCATCTCATCAATCTTAAATTATAATCATAATTAACTACATAAAAATGTACCGATAATTATTGCGCATGAGGAAATTCTGAATATTTATTTACTGATTAAAAATAACAAACATCATCTGAAATTGTTAAATAAATTTAGCGAGAATCAGTATTTATTTTCACGTTGTACCTCTTCTGATATATGACAAAATCCCTAATTTAGCATGACTATAAAAAAAATGTGCAAAGTGAAAAACAGTAAGTATGCTGTTTTTCTTGTATAATTAATCAGGAAAATTAAAATTTTTCTCATACATATCAATGTACAATGACACAGAAAAAAAGTGAATTGCAGCAAAATGTTAACGTTAATTTATTTTCTTTTTTTTCTTCTTCTTCTGGGGACAAAACATTCACGTCTCATTTTTCTTTGCAATTAATTTGCAAATAGCCGATATGCAGAAACATTCTGTTTTGATATCATGCTGCCATCTAGCGGTCATTAATTAAATAAATATCACATAAAGAAAAAGTCAGATGTTTTTATGTTATAACCGTCGTTGAACTAGAGACGTATCTATAGAAAGATGCGCAAATCTGGTCTCCGTCCGGCACCCTTCCTAAAATATTTATATTCTCTCTCTTTTGTTACACAATACGAAATAAGAACATTGTTAGACGTATTTAACCCTTTTCGCAATATTGCAAAAAGATTGCGTTGTATTTAAATAATAATAGATTAATATATAAATAAAATTTAACTATAACAAAATTATCTCTTTTTAATTGTAATGCATTTAGTGCATCCATAATCATCATTGATTCGAAACAAAAAGTCTGTTTAATGATATTTATAGAAGATTCTATTGCATCTTTTCAGATGTCAATAAAAAGTCTGACAATTTGTTAAATTGATCACAATTATATTTTAAAGTTTTACAAATATAATTTGGTTAGAAAAATATGTACACAGAACAAATGTAGCTCTGGTTTAAAGAATTATTAAAGCATAACAGAATGATTACCCAATATTTTTAAAATAAAAACTGAAGGAAATTTTTTTTTAAAAAAATAATCACGCTTTGCTAACATCAAAACAATAAAATCATCGCGATATGATAAAATCATTAAAGATCACCGAGTAAATAATTACGATTCGGTACGGCAATTACAAATAAAATAACTGCAATCAAATAATATATTTTTGCTAGTTTATTTACTGCTCAATAAAAAAAACCGAAGCTCTTAACATAATTAAATTTTACAAACATTTTATAATAACAAATAATAAGAAAAAATAAACACACAATTATATGCAAAACTCAGGACTAAATAGTGACAAAAATACATTCTTTTCTGAGAAATAAATTAGAGGAAGTTGACGCTTTATTTTAGGAATATCTAGGAAAAATTAATTTTCTAACAGTGAAAAAAAGGAAAAGAGTAAAGAACTAGATCAGAATACATTCTGGTCTATTTAATAAAATCAAATTGCGCAAAATCCTTTCAACATTAATAATGGAATAAGCTAGAGATAAAGCAAAAAAAATTAAGCAGATTTGAATTATAAATTTTCAGACGTTCAGTGGACAAAAATTAATAAATAAACGGACCATCCTTATAACTTTTAATCCAATGATCAGATTTCCACGTTCTGGGACTCATTCTTAATGGTTCAAAGGGTGACTTCAAATATGCTAATTAATTAGTGCAGGGGTCATATTTTAAGTTACCAAATCGGACAGTAAAACGTATTTTCTCTGAATGAACATGCCATTTTTTCGACGGATTCGGATTTCTGAAATTTAAAATATAGGGAGTTGCCGCAATCGGAGAAATAACTGGAGAGTTTTTCAAGAGGATTGAAAAAATTTTGAGCACAATTATAAATGTCGTATATAATTGTGTAAATTGTCTAAAAATAACTTTTAGTAATTATTTATTATTTCGTAATAAATAATTTCGTTACTTAAATAATAGTTGGGAAAAAATTTTTATTGTAAGGCATGCATTTTTATATCATTTAAAAAGAAAGTAGTTCAACATAAAATACAAAATTAGTAATTGATCAAATAATTCCTGAGAAATCAAATTTTAACTATACGACTTTTTTAAAATTCGATTTTTCTGGAATCCGAACTCCGTATTCGAACTGCATGGATTTAGACTAATCTGCATAAAAAGTTCTTGTTTTAAAAGAAATACTTTTTAAAACTAATTAAATTTAATTAGTTTTAAAAGTTGTTTTTAAGAAAAAGGATAAATATAAATCATTGGAATATCAGGGAAAAAGAAGGCTTTTGTGTATATGAAAATGCATTATAAGAAAACGTATGCTTCATAATTAAACAAGCTCTAATTTTTCTATTCGTGAGTTGCCTATTGTTTTTTTTATATTCTTAAAATATTCTTTTATATTCTTTTTTCATAATTATTTAATGAAAAAAATAACTTTAATGATACTACTTTTTTTTAGCAACTAAACTGTTGCAATGGTTGCTTATAAACTACATATTATAGCCTTAATATTATTTTGTATACTTTGATCATAAGAAACAAATATAATATATAAATAAAGGAAACTTTATAAACTATTTTAAAAATAGTATAACAAAGTAGTATGATATGTAGTGTTATAAGTGTAATGTAAGTGATATATATTGTAAAAGACTTATAAAATTTAAAAAATGGTAATTATTAAATCTAATTTTTAAAAAAAAAAATTAAGAAAATGGCAATCTGAAATAAAAGAAGAAATATAATAGAAAGATTACAAAATTTTTTCCCCGATAAGCTATAGAAACGTGTTCGTTTCCTCGAAGAAAGTTTTATTAATATTAAATAAATGTAACTTAAAAATACAAAGAAAAAAAACATGTCTTTATAAAAAAAATTTTTTTAAGAAAATCTTTTTTTTCCAAATTGTAAGTATAAAGATTATTGAAACTTATACTTAAAGCAAAAATATAATAAAAAATGTAAGCGAATCCTACTTCTGTTGCGACTTAGAGTACAAAAAAACAGTGTCAACAACAGATGATTTGTTCCTTAATCCAACCATTCGAGGAAAAAAGAAAGAAAAAAATCGAACTTTTACTAGTAGTTTAACTCAAAATCTATCTATTAATAGCTAGAAAGAAAAACATTTCTCGGCTGTTGGCTTAATAAAATATTTCAGAAAAATCTTAGCAGTTGGTATCTCTGCATTTATATAACGCTATTTCTAGAAAATATAACGCTAACTAATAATACTAATAAGTAAGTATAATGCATTTATTTAAATATTTAGGAAATGATTACTTACAATCAACAAAGAAAATCCTTTTATTACGCGTTGTTCGCTTAAATAGTTGAATCAACTGTAAATGTAAAAGCCCAGAAGGTGTAACAAACAAAAATAGATTGCAAAAATTTAAAATAGACTTTAAATATTTGATTTTTCTTTAATTAAATTTAGAATTTTTATATGAGCGTGAGCTTATCTTGTCTTGTCATTCAAAATGGTTATGAGCGTGGGCACCTAACAACTTACACTTATAGTTCGTCTAAGCTAAGAACTCCTCCCGCCACAAAGTCTGAGGCCGTTTGGTGCTATGGAAACAAGAATGGCACATTTTAGGGAGAGTAGGTTCGCTCTAGGACTATTCCCTTTTCCTCGTCAGCCAGAGCCGAATCCACTCCAAAACAGTAACCCCGCACTCTTACTTGAAATAGTCATACCTCGTTACCGTATTCACCGACACAAGTTCAGACTAATGTCTGGGGGAGTTCTTATTTTAGACAAACTATAGGTCTATCTTCATTTTTCAAAATAGTGGTATTCATTGACAAATGGTTTCATGGGTTCAAATTAATTGTCCAGCGAGGCAGAGGCACCTCCTATTTTTAGTATTTTACTCTTTTGTGAAGGCGATTCTCACCATGGATGGCAAAAATCTCCTTTTGTGGAAGGATTTACACTTAACTTACAACAGGGGCTCAATTTTAAATCTATTCAACAGATTCCGGAAACCTTTTATAGAGATATCTTAGCCATTGATAAAATTGAAGATTTACAAGCATTTTACTGCAGACTAATTAGTCTAGGCCTAATTAGGACTAATTAGACTGGGACACCCCATGGTTTTCTCTGTCCTCTGGTCATCACCAAAGATCTATCTCTGAAATCCATTTCCTCCTTCGGATAATGATGACTGCAATGTGATATGAAGAGAGGAGGAAAAAATTGTTTATCACGTCTCTTTGCTTGTGGTTGTGAAAAATTTAATTAAATAAAGATTTATTCTGGGATCCTGAATTTTCTGCATTCTGCTCTTTCTTTTAAATGTTGTATGCTTTTTTTTAAAATTCTGCCCTAACTTTAAAAAAAAAAGTATTTATTAAATTCTTAATAAAAAAGAAAATTTTGATCTATATCGATGTTGCGCCTTTTTAAAATAATGCGCTTATGACATTCGCCAAACTTGCCATACCCTGGATAGGTTGAACAGCCAACCCATGTATTGGGTTTACGACTACTAATATTCAACTCCGTTGCCTTGTAGTTTTGAACCCAATCCAGAAGACAAGAGAACTCCTAGTTCAAGAATTTGGAGAAATTTACCTTCGTGGGGGACTCTTTTGATGGAACTAACCAGCATTTGCGTTACATGTAGAGGAAAACTACGAAAACCTCCCATGGCTTGTCTGGCGGTATGCTGACTCTAATTCATTATCCGTCAATCATTCAGGATATTTTACTTCAGCACTATGATCGGTGCGAGCCGGATGCGGAACTCCTATCGACCAGCCATATCTTTGATTCGAACCCGGTTCGTCTCATAGGAGGGCAAACTCTCTATCTCCTGAGCTACCACGGCTTGGATATCTTGATTATTAAAAACTCCTCTATGGTCAAACCCCCAGTGTTTCCCATATTTTACACACCTACACCTATATATTACATTTTTCATATTCACGCCTTAATGTGATAAAAATTGTGAGGGTATTTTTCCAATTTTTTTTTATTTATCAGATTTTTATTTTTTGAATATTTTTTTTTGTGTTTCTGTCATTGTTTGCAAAGACGAATTCTAAAATGTTAAAATTAATGCATTATACATTTTTAATAAAAAAAAATTATTAAAAAAGGTGAAAGCAATCGGAAAAATTATTTTTGCTGTACGAAGTAGGGGCAGATCTTTGCGGTTATTTCGGTGAAACAATTTATAGTTCAAAAAAGAATCGAGAAGAATTTCATTTTATTAAAAATCATTATTTTAATGTCGAGAGAATAACACAATTATCAAAGGACACAAATCTAACATCTTTGTACTCATTTTTTTAAATCTTTTTCAAAAAATGGAGGTGAAAAAGTTTGCAAACTAGGGAGTCGCAAATTAATAACTCAACAAAATCGTTCGTTAAATCTAACGAATCACAACAAAAGTAGGCAGAACTGAAAATACAAAAATATCTCTGACTATGGGTAAACACTTAAAAATGTATCTAATATTCGCCATTCAAGTGATCTCTGTGACATCCGATTGATTTTGATGCTTACACTCCCATTTTCTTCAATAGTGATACGATAACATTTTTGTCCTGATAATATATTTTGACTGCTACTCTTTTAGAATGGAAAGAATGGCTATCCGCACAGTTTGGTTGAATCATAAATAACAAATGAAAAGAAATGCACCTCAAGTCAAATAAAAGCATTTGAAAGATTTTTCAGTATTACGCATCCTAAGCACGTGTGCTAAGTTTTGAAGTAAGTGGAGCACTTTTAATGTTAAAAAAAGTTGTATAATAGTTAATCCCAAATAAAAATAATAAAATAGCTACCGGGCACATGCGCTGTTTCTTTAAGACTTCGTACGGGAACGTGTGATATTATACGCTAAAATGCGAAATCTCTCTAAAATGGCTTTGATTATGAGAAAAACATATATGTCGATTGATTTGCATATCTCAATGCAAATTTTAATAAATAATTAGGTACGACACAAATAATAGTATGATTGCATAGTTTTCAAATAAATAGAAACTGCACAACCAAAGTAGTTACTTTGGATACCATAGAACAGATTTTTTTTTTATAGTTTTTTTTTTATATTGCATGAGATTTTTAACGGATCTTCGATATTTTCACATAGCTGATTTCAAATCTGCTAATGGTTTCTCTCTAAAAGCTATGGTTTTGTGTAATTTACTATAATAAAACTAGCAAGGATTTTTAAAATTCACTCAAGTAAGTGTCCCCACTTCTCTGCTACATAAGAAGTGGCAGGAAGAAAGCGATAATACATTTAGGTTTAGGTTTATATATATATATATA